GACGTCGGCGACGTACCGGGGCGCGGCAGCGGCGCCGGCGCCGGCGCCGGCAGTCACCGGCCAGACCATCGCTCGACTCAACACGCTCACCTCGAACACGTACCAGGCGGCAGCGGCAGCCTCCGCGGCCGTCGCCGAACCCAGCCGGCCGCGCGCCGGCGTGCAAGCCCAGGTCGCCAGCCCCACCACGCCCGTGCAGGCGTACCCGGGCTCGACAGCGCGCGTCGTCGAGACGACTACGGACGCGACCACGGTCCGGGCGCGGCCGGCCGCCGGGCTGACGGTGCCGCGCGCTCCCGCCGCATCGGCGGCGGTCCCGGCGCAGAGCGGCGGTGCCACCAGCCGGCGCGGCGAGGCCGAGCCCGGCTGGCTGCGCGTGTTCGCCGTGCAGCCGGAGGCGGGCGGCGCACGGCCGGGCCGCGCCCTACCGGCCGCCGACCTGGCCGGCGCCGAGGCGCGGCGCACGGTCGGTCCGCCGGCCGAGCGCTTCCCGCAGCGCGTGCGGCTGACGCAGCAGTACAGGGCCGAGTACGTGCCAGAGCGCGACGACGACGTGCTGCTGGCCGGCCGGCCGCAGCACGGGCAGTACCCGTTCCATCAGCCGTACCAGCAGCAATACCAGTCCCCGGAGCCGTACCAGCAGCAGTACCGATCCACGGAGTCGTACCAGCAGCAGTACCAGTCCCCAGACCCGTACCAGCAGCCGTACCAGCCGAGGCAGCGGGAGTTCCAGGAGCCCCCGCAGACGTTCCGGCCGCCTTACCAGCCGCTGCCGCCGCGCCGGCCGCCGCCGCGTCGCGGCTTCGTCAACAACATGCTGACGCGGCTGTTCGGCGGCCCCGAGCGGCAACAGCGGCCGCGGCTACCGTTCTTCCCGGTACCGCCGCGGCAGCGGGGACCGCCCGAGGCACCGACTGCTCACGAGCTGCAGCCAGCGCGCCAGGAGTTCACGCCGAGCCCTCCGGAGCAGGGGCCGCCTGACCAGACCGCCTTCCGACCCGTCCAGATCTCCACCTCGTCGCCGCCGCTGTCCGGCGGCCAGTTCGGCAGCGCGGCCCAGTCTGACTCGCAGGCCGAGAACTCGTTCCAGTCCGAAGGTCGTGAGGAAAACTCCTTCCAGTCCGGCGTACAGTTCCAGAACTCATTCCAACCAAGCGGGAGGCTCGAGAACCCAGTCCAGTCCGGCCGTCCATTCGAAGCCTCGTTCCAGTCGAGCGCACCGTTCGACGCCGCGTTCCAGACCGGCGGCCAGTTTGACACTTCCTTCCAGACCTCCGCGCGGTTTGACAGCTCATTCCCGACCGAGCAAGACGAGGCAGCCGACTCGGACGGTGCTCTGCTCCGGCCGACGGCTGGCCACAACACCGCCCGACCAGCCGGAGTCGACCAACCGCGCCCCGAGCCGGCCGCGGACGCCATCCACGCCGCCTCGCCCGTCTCCGGACCGAGAACGCCGTCAGCGCGACCCTCCAGCTACTTCGCGCCGCCGCCGGGGCCCGACAGCCCGGACTTTGAGCCGGCGCGGCTGGCGCCAGTCGAGCAGGCGCTGACGGAGTCGGCGGCGCCTGCCGCGTCCGGCCGCCCGCTGCTCCGGTCACCGCAGACGACGGAGCGCCGCGACGACGGCACGGTGGTGGTCACCGGCGCGCTGCTCGACGACCCGCGCTCCGACGACGTCGTCGAGCTGGTCATCGAGTACGACAACGACCTGGAGAGCATCGTCGACGACCTGCTGCGCGAGGTACACGGCGCGGAGCCGGTCGCCGTCGCCGCCGCCGCCACCGCCGCCGCCGGCGGCGACCGGCCGTACCAGGTGACGCCGCCGTCCGCCAGCGAGCTGCGGCGCCGCCCACTGACCGTGCAGCAGCTGGACCGGCGGCTCGGCCTGGCGCACCAGCCCTACTACCACGTAGCCATGGCGCTGTACGGGCTGACCGGCGGCCGCGGGCCGGCGGCGCGGCGCCGCTGACGTCCGCCGACGGCGGTCAAGGCCGTGAAACGCGCGTGTACAATGGGGCCGACGGAGAGCCGTCCGGGGCTGCCGGCACAATCGGACGGGCGGCGTTCGGAGCGCGTGCGACGGACGCCGTCCGAGGGATGACACGAGTGCGCAACCCACTCCGCTCGCGGCAGATGCAGCCAACGTTAGAAGAGGCGGTATGATGTACAGAACGCGCGCACATTGATGTCGCTAGTGCGCAAGCTGTGATGAGGTAGTTGTTGCATGTAAGCACATCTTTCAGCGTGTTATTTATTTTTTGTTGCGGCGGCGACTCATTTTTTGTGTTAAATAAATGATAAGCACTGGTCTGGTGGCATTGTGTTCATTTCACCCAGCTTGTGTATGCAAGCCAAATATAAAATGCAGCACAGAATCGAAGAGTCAGGAGCGACAGGTCAAGCAGTCAAAGAACTAAAGCCAACGCGGATTAAAAAATGCGTCCCTGGAAAACTGCAACGAAGGTGGCACGCGTGCGCCACGCAGATCGCGGACGCCGTTTCTCCGCGGCCGCGCGAGACTAACGACCGGTGCGCCATCCTCGCGCGACGCCCGCGTCGGCGGGAAAGTGAAAATGGCGCGCGGCCCGACCGGCCGCTGTCCCGCAACTGGTATCAGGGGAGCGACGCGCCCTCGAGCGGGTGTCGCCTCGGCGTCCGGCAGCCGGCCGACGCGCGATGACGCGGCGGCGCCAGCGCCGGGCGGAGCGAGCCGTGGCGCAAGCTGCCGGTCTTGCCCAACGGCGTGCGGACGTCACACACATACGGGGGAGGGTGTGGGAGTGGACGCTGTGCTGAGGCAGCGCGGCTGTGAGGATCGCATTGTCTGACGTCTGTTGCGCTACAACGCAACAACTGCAGACAATTTAGCCGAAAGTGCAGAACAATTATATCAATGCGGTGCAACACAGCAGCGAGACATCGTTCAGATGCTGTTTGGTGCAAATGCTACAATTACGTAACGCGAGGTACATGTATACGGCTAGAGTACCGCTAGCATAGATGTTTCACATACTCACTGTTACCGTTTCATGGCCGAATGAACCCCATTACACCTGACCGAAACGGAGCAAGTGTTTTCCCTGGCCTGCAGTAGCCACAGCCAGCGCCAACTCGCCTCCGGACACTACGCTCACACGTCACCAACTATTGGTGCACGGCTGGGCGAGGCGCACCAAACCCCTAACCCGTTTACGAGGCATTCTTCTAGCACTAGGGGGCCTTTGCGACACGCTCAGCTTGCACCACATTGTTTTTTTTCAAGATACGTCGATCTACTGCGGCAGCAGTGATGAGATGAGCACGTGTAGTAGGCTTAAGTGAGAACCTTAAGATATATGTCATGCAATGTTCTTGACCATAGATGCTAACGCCATGCTGTGGCTATGCGGTGGTCATAACACACAATACAAACCATGAGTAGATAGGTATTGATAATTCTTCGCCAGCGTCAGACGATGACGAGTGGTGGTTTTCGGGCGCCCCGACTTTAAAAGCCATTTAGCGCCCACTGTTGCGTACTGCGCATTGGCATCTTTCCTGGCAGTATGACCTAGTCATATTAGCTGATAACAAGCATAGCACAAATCTTCGAAGTCTAAAAATCCCGATCAGTTGGCACCGCTTGCTGCCGCACAATACGAATACGAGTAAGCAAACCAGCTGCTCAAGAGAGCTCCAGGGGACTTAAGCTCGCAAGCTGCGAACGTAACGTCGCCCAGCGGTGGAATCATGAGTTTAAAAATATACACCCATCTGTAGATGTCGCTAGCAAACTGTGACCGCATGGGCGCTGTTTACGCTAGAATCCCACAAAACCAGATCAGCATGTCCAAAGATCTCGCGCTAATGAAGCAGGGCAGAACACTTTTCACGCAAAGGATACGGGGGATCACCGTCACACAGCAGTAGGGGTACTCCAGTCAGTCACAGCTCCGCCTGACCTCGGTCTCGGGTCGCGGGTGCTAGGCGACGGGGCTTCCGAGAGACGTTCAGCGAGCACAGACGGCAGCAGTCAGTGCGGTCCCCGAGCGGAGGAAATTCCTCATTTGTCGTGTCATAACCAAGCATCTGGTGTCTAGCGCATTACGCCAGGTGCACGGCCAGCAGCGCGCACCACATGGCCCCACCCACTGACGTGACGTCACAGGAAAGTCAGCAGAGCCACCCAGGCTATGGCCAGCCCCCCGCATCGCCTCCGAACGCTCACCGGCCGGTGTGCCAGCCGACAGCAAGCCCAGAGCGAAGGGCGCCAGCGGTCTGGCCGATCTCAAGTGTGGCTGGCTCCGACCAGCCGCACTACGCCGTCCCAGCCTGCCTCCTAGCGCCCACCCGCTCCGTCCAGTCGACCAGTCGGTGTTCTCTCACCCGGCGTGCGGCCCTCACTTGTTCGGAAAGTACCCTCAAGCCACAACTGACGTCCTCACCTGTTCGGAGACAGCCCTTCCGCTGCAGCCTGTGCCCTCACCTGTTCGGAGATGGCTCTCCAGCCGCAGTCTGTTCTGCACCCTCGCCTGTTCGGAGATGGCCGTCCAGCCGCGGTCTGCAAACTCGCCTGTTAGATGGTCTCAAGTCGGCAATCGGAGTCCTCACCTGCCCGGAGATGGCCCTCCAGCCGAGGTCTGCGCCCTCACCTGTTCGGAGACGGCCCTCCAGCCGCGGTCTGCGCCCTCACCTGTTCGGAGATGACTCTCGAGCCGAAGTCTGCGCCCTCACCTGTTCGGAGGTGACCCTCGAGCCGAAGTCTGCGTCCTCACCTGCCCGGAGATGGCCCTCCAGCCGCGGTCTGCGCCCTCACCCGTTCGGAGATGGCCCTCCAGCCGAAGTCTGCGCCCTCACCTGTTCGGAGATGGCCCTCCAGCCGAAGTCTGCGCCCTCACCTGTTCGGAGATGGCTCTCCAGCCGAAGTCTGCGCCCTCACCTGTTCGGAGATGGCCCTCCAGCCGCGGTCTGCGCCCTCACCTGTTCGGAGATGACTCTCGAGCCGAAGTCTGCACCCTCACCTGTTCGGAGACGGCCCTCCAGCCGAAGTCGTCGCGCCGGTCGCACTCGTACGTCTCGCCGAGCAGCGGGTTAAACGGCTTGCCAGAGCGCGTGCTGGTGGTGGAGTACGCGCTGACTGTGAACGCCGCCACATAGCACATCTGCTCGCACGAGTCGGAGCACTCGGCCGCCCTGTCCAGCAGATAGCTGTACTCGAAGTCCTCCGTCAGGCGCTGCAGCATGGAGAGTGGCTCCGAGAAGTTCACCTGGCAACGGGCGGCGCAGGTCAGCGGGCCTGCCAGCACCGTCCCGGCCAGCACTGGCCACACATGGGCGCTGGCGGCAGTTGGGTAGTGCCCGCCGGACTGTCAGAAACCGTCTAGATGGCCATTCGCAAACGTAACGGCTGTTGTACTACATCCTGGCAGACAGATTTCGATATGTTCATGATGTGTATGATGCATTACATCACGCACATGATGGCAAATAACACAATATTCTGCTACCACCATTTTGCACACACGAGCGACAAGCCATACCCAACATGTCCGAACAGCACCAATCCCTGCAACAATGAAAAAGACAACGGTTCGACATGATCATGGTAGCTTGCTCAAGCACGCTTGCCCGCTCATTATCGTCACGGTCAAAAGCCTGATACCAATGAAGGTATCAGCAGCCAAAAGTGTCAAAGTCAGCACAAGCATGGCACCAAGTACACAACTGGTGACTGTGACCGTGACTGACTAGTGACGCCTGTGACTGCCCATTCCAATTCCGGATACCAAACTAAACAAATACGGAGCCTGGCAGAGGCGGCCGACAGCCAACTGACCGGCACAGGGATTTTGGTCAGCTCCTTGCCGATCGAGTTTTTCATGATGCTCCACAGATTGAGCGGGTAGTTGGGCTTCTCCGGGATGCTGGTGCGCCGTTTGCGCGCGCTCTTGACTGGCTTGTGCGCCATGTCGGCCGAGAAGTTTGGCGGCGAGTCACCATTGCCCGATCCGGGACGTCGCTGTGGAGCCGGACGGTCAACCCAGGTCAGCTTAGTCGGCCACACTGCCTAAAATGGAACGATCCGCTCCGACATGGTGAGCCCGTATGCCTGTCAGGTCAGGTCAGGTCAGGTCAGGTCAGGGAAGGGAAGGGAAGGTCAGGGAAGGTCAGGACAGGGCAGGGCAGGGCAGGGCAGGGCAGGGCAGGGCGGTTCAGGGCAGGTCACGTCACCTTACGCCTCTGCCCACGCCCGGCTATGTCAGATCACGCCAATTCAGGCACACCGCAGGTCAGAACAGCTACGTTCAACCCAGCTCAGGTTGCACCCCTCCGCCAGCGCTCGACCCCCGCTCCCCAGGTCGGAGGCCAAGGCCACACACAGGTCGCACGTCACTCCGTGCCCGCGTAGAACCGACGCCGCGGCGACTGGGACCGGGCTGTGACACCGGCCTGTCAGGGTGCGCGAGCTGTCGCCGCCAGCTGAGGCACCACCCGAGACTAGGCTGCGACGCCGGCCCGTCAGGGCACAGCAGCTGTCGCCGCCAGCTGAGGCACCACCCGAGACTAGGCTGCGACGCCGGCCCGTCAGGGCACAGCAGCTGTCGCCGCCAGCCGAGGCACCACCCGAGACTAGGCTGTGACACCGGCCCGTCAGGGTACAGGAGCTGTCGCCGCCAGCCGAGGCACCATGTGTCAGAGGCCGAGGGCCACGCTGATCACGGATCGCCCGATGAGACGGGCGACCAGCACCACCCGTGTACTCCGGCTGCAGACCGCCGCTGCCATCGCCCCACGGGAGGGGCGGTCAGCACCACCCGCGCACTCCGGCTACAAACCGCCGCTGTCATCGCCCTACGGGAGGGGCAGTCAGCACCATCCGCGCACCCCGGCTACAAACCGCCGCTGTCATCGCCAGACGGCAGGGGCGGTCAGCACCACCCGCGTACTCCAGCTACAAACCGCCGCTGTCATCGCCCCACGGGAGGGGCAGTCGGCACCACCCGCGCACTCCGGCTACAAACCGCCGCTGCCATGGCCCGACGGCAGGGGCGGTCAGCACCACCCGCGCACCCCGGCTACAAACTGCCGCTGCCATGCCGCGACACCGTTTGACAAGAACAATCAGGAACCTACTTGTCCTCCACAAAATTGACGATGTAATACGCCGTTGATCACAATGAACGTCTGGAGGGTTGAACCAACCAAATCCACATGATGACTCAAGTCGCAGGTGCACATATACGGTCATACGAATAACTTTAAATGTATACATATGTTCAGCTGAATAATCCATAACAGAATAACAATGGACTGGAAAGTGTTGCGCTAATTCACCAGACGCACTGGAGTTAAAACTTAAGCTATGAACAAATGCGGGACATTAGTCACGAGCTCAAGACCTAAACACGTGATACTTAACAATCGACCCTTCAGGAAATTGATGTGAAAGTAAGCTTGAATTGTACTTATTTCAATAATACTGATAACACCTTATCCTCATCATATCTGCTGTTATGTGGAGCTCTAAATACCTCCAGCAACGCCACAACCAGGACCAACATACGAAATACAAGACGTCGAGGACCGTTGACACCTGCCAAGCGCCTATCAGACCTAAAAACAACATTAAATCCAACCCCGTCCAAGGTTCCGGGCCGCGCATGGTCAGGCGGAAGCCAACCCAGACCAACAGGACCCCATACAGGCGCACTGACGCAACATACACAAGCCTATGACGCCAGACAGCATAGACACATAGTCCCCGCGCGGATACGGCGGTGATAACATAAACACACAGCCAACGCGTGATCATGGACCACGATGACACAGCTTCTGAACGAAGAGAATAAGATCTCAGCACACACGCACATACCCTGCATGACCATACCCTGGCAAGGCCACCGCCGCACAGCCCGGAACGGACAGAATGATGCCAATGCCGAGCCCTAGCCCCCGCAGGGACAGAAGGACACAAGGCCCTTCAGCCGTCTGCAGCATAACAACATACATACAAACAGCCGCAGCAGAGACGGACATCCCCACACAGCGCCTCGGCGCCTGCTCGCCGAGCCGACACTGACCGTCCTGCTTCGGTAGGCCCGCCGCTTCCACACCCACGAGTAGAGGCACATGTCTCCCGCGCCGTGCCGCGCCGCGCCGCCGCGCACGTGGCTCCGTGTGGGGATGTGTGTGGGTGTGTCCAGCCGGCCGGCCAGCGGCCGCGGCGCCGGCCGGCGACGATAAACAGCCGGGCAGGCCGGCGGCCGCGGCGGGGCGGGGCGGGGGCGCGGCCCTGGAGGTGACGCCCGGATGGCCGCACCGGTTCCCGGGGGACAGCAGAGAGCAGGGAGGGGGGGGGGGGGCTGCACTCACCCGGACGTCACGCACCGTCCCGACCGACAGGGTCGGCCGCGCGCGGCGCACAGGCCCAAGCTGCGCCCGCCGGCGGGCTCGATAATAGCATTAACAGCTGGCGAACAGCAGGCGGCGACCTTGCGACGAGCGCACTCCGGGCAGACGGGCGCCCGCCACTCGCCGCCGGACGAGCCACCCCTCGAAGGTCATCAGTCGGCGCTGGACGGACCGCCCCGCGTCACCAAACGTCCCCAGACAGGCCGCCCCCGGGGTCACCACTCTGCCTCGCAGGGCCCCGCGTGGGGTGCGCCTCGCCCCACACGCTGCTCCACCTCGGGCGGCGCCGGCGGGCTTCGGCACGTGTCCGCGCGCCGGGCCGAGACATTGACCACACTGTGGTCGCCATACAGAGCTCGGGGCGGCTGTCTGTCAGCCAGCGCGTGTGCGTGCTGACACGCGGGCACGTCAGCGTCCGAGCCTGGGTTTGGATTTGCCGCGGCGCTGGACGCCATTCGACCACACGGCAGAGCACGTAACACGCACACTTCCACGCCATTTGAAAACGTGCCCCTCGGAAAGGCGACGAAGGTTGTTTTGACCCGCGCCGGCCAACGCTGGCACGTGCCTCGGCAAGGTTGGACTGGGGACCACCGCATCGGGGACTGCGTGACCTTCCGAACCCACGGGGCAGTGATAATATGAACTTCATTACGGGTGTGCGGTTTTACGGGCAGCAACTGTGTGCACCGCATAATACGAACCAAATGCACGAGCATCAGTTGTGCGTGAGGTTGCCGACTGCGCGCGGTACGATTCGGCGCGGTAAAGTTGCGCCACGTAATGCAACAGGCGGCGCGGCAGAGTTACAGCAGGCAACCTACGGCAGCTATGGCTCAAGCGGGGCCGTAAAATCCGATCAGACGCCATGAGGCGGCCTCGGCAGTGGGCACGCAGCGCACGGACGCGCGCAGCTTCGGCTCATGTTCAGTCTCCACGCAAATGGTGTACTATCTCCTACATGACAGGGAAGGACGCGAGAAGACTGGGAGGTACTGTGGCGCGAATGGACAATCGCGTCAAGAGGCCTCCACCGCAAACACTCGACAGGCACACTGAGCGCGGCGGGCGGCTCGCTCGCGCGGCACGCGTGTCAACGGCCAACACGTCCGCCGCGGCGGCCGGACCTCACGTGCTACAGCCGTGCGGCGCATATCCTAAATTGCTCCGGTCCTGGGCGACCCAATCCCAGAGGCCAGTCCGCGCAACACACTGCCTGCGCAGGGCGCCACGCTAGGCACGGCAGTCTACGAACGCCGTCGCCAGCGTCTCGCAACAGCCACCTCCCGCTGCCGTCCGGCCACCAGGCGCCACAGAACACCAGCCTCGAGAGCGTTACCTTCTGTTTGTCCGGCTTGTGGGCGATGACGCCGACCATCTCCGAGTTGTCCTCCTCGTTGCTCGAGTCGGACTCGTTCGGCAGCTTGTCCCGGCCCTCGGACGTCTGCGCCACGCACGCACACGCACAAAGGGCGGCCGTTAGCGGACGGCGCTCGGAACCGCCGGGGGGAGGGGGGGGGCGTCGGTCGGCGGTGGGTCACGCCAGGTCACTACTCTCGGGGCAGCACGACAGCGTGCGCGCGCACTACTCCAGTATAGGGTAGCTATCTCTGGTATTGTCTGCTACAAAAACTTTCAGTGGAAGCGCAACCATCCTGAGGGAGGGCTTCGGCGCCAAACGTTACCACTTTACAAGGCTTCGTAAAATTAAGTGGCATTCATGGTCCATGTCCCCATAGCATAATAATTATCATTGCGAATGACTGGCTTCGACAGAAGAAATATTTCTAGCCGAGAACAGTTCGGGTCGTTCGTAACTTCCCAGTATCGCACTTCTTATCGGCTGTTTCCTCAAATAGCACACATCGCTCTCAAACAATTTACACGGTAATATTCGGGGACGGTTAGTGCATTACTTATATACCACACCACCACATACCGCAAAACCGAATCATTTAAAGCAGGCAAAGGTAATCAATCACGGCTGCGCACCACTAGCGCTCCTGCACAAAAGCCGGGGGTGTTCACAGAAACCAAACCGCTCGCGCCGGGCCGAGCCGCCCCAGCTGCCGGGGGCGGTGTGCTTATGGCCCGGCCCTGGCGGCGCGGCGCGCTTCACCCTCACCTGCGACACGTTACTGCCCGAGCGCTTGTGGTTGGTGGGCACGGCCACCGTGAAGTGGCTGCCGAAGTCGTCGGCCGCATCCTCGAACTCGTCATCGCTCGACTGGATACTGGCCACTGCGGGAGCGCGGGTGGGCATGACGCGCCGTGGGAGAGGGGTGCTGGTCAGGCGATGACGTCCAGGGGAGAGCGCCGACCCACACGGACCTGGTGCTGACTCCGGGACACGGCACCGGCCCTCTGGTGACGCCCAGACAGAGACGCGGAGCCGTGGTGACTCCGGGACAGGGAGACGGACCCGTGGTGACTCCGGGACACGGGCACTGGCCCCCTGGTGACGCCCAGACAGGGACGCGGAGCCGTGGTGACTCCGGGACAGGGAGACGGACCCGTGGTGACTCCGGGACACGGGCACTGGCCTCCTGGTGACGCCCAGACAGGGACACGGAACCGTGGTGACTCCCGGACACGGGCACTGGCCCCCTGGTGACGCCCAGACAGGGACGCGGACCCGTGGTGACTCCGGGACAGAGAGACGGACCCGTGGTGACTCCGGGACACGGGCACTGGCCCCTGGTGACGCCCAGACAGGAACACGGAGCCGTCGTGACTCCAGGACAGGGAGACGGACTCGTGGTGACTCCGGGATACGGGCACTTGCCCCTGGTAACACCCAGACAGAGAACGGACCTGTGGTGACGACGCACCGAGGAACTGACTCATTGGCGGCACTGAGAAGGGGAGGTGGTCCACAAGGTGACGACAGAAGCGAGGTTATGACCCACTGGTGACAACGAGACGAACACAGTGACCCACTGAGGACATAGAGCCAGGGAGATGGATATACCGGAGACAACGCACAAAGGGACTACAACTGACCCACTGGGGACACCGTGGCAGGGAGACGGATCCGGTGGTGACAACAGGACAACGATACTGGCCTTTTGGAAACAGCAGGGCAAGAACATTGACACTGGAAGCACTGGCACAGGGACACTGGTCTCGACGCTAAGACAGTACTGTTATGGGACACGTCCAGGACATTGATCTTGCTCGCCAGATGATACACCTGATTCAGGAATTATGCGGTGGTTGTCCAACGATCAGAAACAAAATGAACACTGTTCCAACGAGAAACAAACGAGCTAATGCCAACACAGCAGAAAAATACTGAACACGGTGAAGCAGGAGCCCGCTGTATACGCCTGGTGAGTAAACAGCGCTTTTGAAAGAAGCAAGTCATTGGGCTACAAGAAGGTGTCTGGCAATATGGTACATTAAACACGCGCTAATGGGAGACGTCTGGCCGCGAACATGATACGCATCGGCCTCCGAGAATAGCTAATGAACAGGCCAGCCATGCTATCAATAGAGCAAATCACGCTGCATCGATTCCACGGATGATCAAGGCAAGTGGCAGAAAACATTGTATGTGTGATGCGTGCCGGTTTACAATCGTTTACATGTGAAAGTGAGGCCTAACACGTAATGTGCGATGCCTGTTCGATTGAAATAGTTTGCATGTATAATTGATGCGCGATGCGTGATGCCTGTTTACTTCCACTCGCTTGCATGTTTGAATGAAGCGTGATGCGTGACGCCTATTTGCTTGAATTCGTTTATATGTACACGTATGTCTGGGTCTTCTAATTCTTAGAAAAGCACTGTATCGTAGTAATGGTTAGCAACCGCTCCTTGCTTAATTCCCTGAATGTTGGTGTCCTGCAAAAACTGAGGTTTGCTGTTTAAAAAAAACCCTGAAATATCGAGCAGGATCATCGGCAGGCAATTTTGAATTCATTTCCGCTATTGTTTCGATAAAGGCATGTTGCCGAAATATTGATCTAACTATATATCCATCCTCCTGCTTTTTCCGAGGAATAAGGCTATTACTTCTGTCTTTCTATGTGAATAATGTTCCTAGCTAATGCACTGAACAACCTACGTAAACATACATCTCCCGGTCGTGAATTTCAGTTGTAACTGAAACGGGAGGCAGGATCGGCCCCCTCAGATACAGCCATCTATTGAGCTGCTTTAGCCCCGCGACGTGTCGGGAGAAAGATCGAGGCCAATACGAATTTCTTTTTTTTACACAAATTCCGAGAAACGTTGACCGTTCACCTTAAAGTGTAGAAAGTGGAGTACACCGAAACTTGCCACGTTATGTGCATAATTGCACACGCATAGTTGCGAAGACATGTACAATAAGGAAGCATGCATTTTCCGGCCGTTAATTCCCTTGAAACTGAACTGGGCGGTAGGCTCGATCCTTCAGGAGCCTTTAGTGGCCTTCAGGAGCCTTCAGGGGCCGTTGCTTTACGTACAACAGCGCCTAAGCATTCGCATCATTTACACTTGGATAGCATGACATGAATGAAATAAATCAAATGACTGTCGAATCAAATCAAGACAACAGTCCAGATCAAGATTAATAGGAGTCGCAACAAATCAAGTGGATCAAATCAAACTGAGCCAAAGTGAATCAAGAGGAATATTCGAGCGTTTGTATATAAGTGGCGGATGTAAGGCCATGACGATGGTGAGTAGACACGACGTCTGATGGTGAGCAAATTGCTGCGATGAAAACAATATTACTCGCAAACAGCGCTGACTTAGATAATTGTGGGGGGCAGGAGGCAGAGCACATGCACTAAAATATATTCAAATCGTAACACCTGTCGTTGTTGAGCACATTTGTGCACCTGGCACCGCCAGTGTCACTCGCCATGTCTCCGCAACTTTTCAACTCTGCTAACATGGCACCGCCACTTTGTCATCAAAACAGACCTTTTGCCCCTGCATAGGCTGCAATACTGACCAGCGCCCCAGATCTCTCTGGTGCTTATCTGTTTACCTCTGTAATATTTTCGTACTTGGCACCCAACACATAGCTGGCAAGATTAGCAGCAGGTATTATGTAAACAAACATGCACTGATTTCAGCGAAAAAACCAACACCGGTTCCGCAGTCCGCAGCGCTTCGTGCTCGAGCGTGGCTGCGCCGCCGGGGCTCTCTGTCTGTCGACTCGACACTTCTCCTCTCCACATGTCAACTCGACACTTCTCCTCTACGCCTGTCGACTCGACACCTCCCCTCTCCACCTGTCGACTCGATGCTTCTCCTCTCCACCTGTCAACTCCACACCGCTCCTCTCCGCCTGTCGACTGACACCTCCCCTTTCCGCCTGCCGACTCGACACTTCTTCTTCTCACCTGTCGACTCGGCACCTCTCCTCTCCGCCTGTCGAATGACACCTCCCTTCTCCGCCTGTCGACTCGACACCGCTCCTCTCCACCTGTCGACTGACACCGCCCCCCTCCGCCCGTCGACTCGACACTAGTTCTTCCCACCCGTCGACTGACACCTCTCCTCTCCGCCTGTCGCCTCGACACTTCCTCTTCCCACCTGTCGACTCGACACCTCTCCTCTCCGCCTGTCGACTGACACCTCCCCTCTCCGCCTTTCGACTCGACACTTCTTCTTCCCACCTGTCGACTAAACACCCTCCCTCTCCGCCTGTTGACTCGACATTTCTGGCTTTCAGACGCATATGGATCGCTTGAACGAGTGATGGAATACTTTTATCACCGTCAAGATGGACAAACTGCGAAAACCTGGAAGACTTGCGCCTAGTGAGCTGGCAAAATGGAGCACGACTTAGACAACCGGCGATCTTAGTTATTATCTGAACCTCGATGCGGCCACCCACCATTCTGGCCACCATTCGTTCACTAATTCAACGCTTGGGGTCGGCCCTGTGCACCTTGCTCCAGTGGCTCAGCCAAACTCAGATGACAGCGAACCCCATCAAACCCAACCTCATCGTTCTCGAAACTGGCTAAATGCTTCGGAACCTTCCATTTCCACTGCAAAAAACGGCGTGGCAGTCGACGAGAAGCATGTGAGCCAGCCGGTGGTCAGGCACACGGAACCGCTCGCCGGCCCGAGTCATACCGGGAACTCAGGATGCACGGCCGACGTGCGTCACCGGCCTGGTCGTAGCCCTAGTGGGTACGACCACACTAAAACTACATCACAGTATATGGGAACACGACTGGCCAATCTATCGGGCGCCACAAGAGGCTGCTCAACTTCTGAGCGAGTGTAGTGTCTAGAAGACCAAAGTGCACGCATGTGCGTGGCGTCTTGAGCGAGCTCAATTGGTAACCTATCCAGGACCTCGCGATGCATCGTGCGCTATGCCTCCTCAGAACTGCGGTAGTCGCAGGCAGGCGAGCGACTTTGCTTGTCACTTTACACACCACCGTTCGGCAGCGTTCTGCGAGGCGGGACGGCCAGGTGGCCCTGGCACACATCAGCAAGAAATCGAGACGGCGGCAGTTCACCTGCCGAGCGACCACAGCCTTCCAGCGATAATCACTGCCACAGGGAAATCAGAATCATGTTCTTAACAAAAATGTGAAGGCAACTTGGTTCGGCACACTATATAGGCATAGCGCTTGTGTGAATCACCCGATTATTTTACCTAGCATGCATCATTCGTTATTTTATATGGGCGAAGGCGTGTGCATGAAGAGCCAGCTGTACCTGGAAAGCATGCATATAGGATCCATGCACATGTACTTTATGAACTTCGTTGTACTGTCTTGCACATATGAGCTTAATACTCTTTAAGCGGAAAGGATTACTATAGACAGCACAGCTATATGTTTGGTAAATGTGGTCCTCAATGCATCATGGTTTGGTTACGCCATCGTACCTGGCACAACATTGATTCGGAGCCAATTGATGGCCGTTAAATTTGGAAATGGCGCCCACGAACACCAGATATGGACGCCTCGATCATTGTATATATTCCTGGCCTCGATCGCCGCATGGCAAATGGAATGGCAGGATTTGAACGGCGTTATCACGACGTCATGAATGCCACGGTGACTTTGAAACACTCTACCCCATATCCCTTTCCCTGCTTTCGCGGGCGTGCAGTTCAGAAACTAAAGGGGCTTAGGTTTTAAGAAGGGCAGTATTGTGAACAGCACCGAAAGGTCTTCAAAGTGGCTACTTCAGTTCAAACCCGCACATAAATGTTGTCTCAAAATGTTAAAGCATCACATATGATAGTAGCGGTAGGAAGTAACACAGAGGTAGTGAGCAACATCTCAATGTTTCGTAAAAAAACCGGTATTGCCTGGCGTATGTTTCGCAGGACACAGGTGGAACCACCCTGGGTAATAGTGTCAAACTGTTATCAGGATAGGTGTAACTGTAAGTACGGAAATGCAACCAAATATCAGCAATGACTGTAAAGGGTTGGGAGAACAAATCACAGAGCAAAGCAAACGAACAAACAAACCAGGGGACAGTGACGGAACCACCCCTTGTTATGAATATAGGTTGTCATAGGTATAATCAATCTAGTATTCAACCCTAATAGGTCACAGTTGTTCGCAATAACAGAATCTAAACGTGCAAACGTCAGTGATTCGCAAGGTCAAGTAAAGTACGATTTTCAGCATCGGCTTTCACATGCACCCCACCTTCACAGCACAACACGCGTCACTCCTTTAGGATACCGGGTAGGGAGATATACTCGTGTTCGGTTCCATACCAATCAGGTGGGAGCGGTCACTACACGAGAAAGCAAGCCCACATGACCACACAAACCGTGCAGCCGACATCGGACGGTGGAGGGCGGTCCACGAGAGCACGTACCACCAGTGAGACTGTCTTTCTTGATGAGCTGCTTGACCTCCAGCTGTTTGGCCTCGTTCTCCAGGTGGGAGTGCTGTCGGGCCAGCTGCTCCACCATCTGCTCCAGCCGGCTGCGCTGGTCGCGCTCGTGCTGGAACATGCGCTGCCACTTGCGGCCGTGCGTCTGCACCAGGTCCCGGTAGTCGGCGCACGCCTGCAGCACAGGCGCCGCTCAGGCTGGGGAGCCGGTGCCCGGGCAGGGGCACGCACACAGACGCGCCCACCGGGCCGGGGACGCCGCACGGTAACCTCAGCACAGTGATGAGCGCTGGCAGCAGTGATGAGCATGGCCTCACACCGGTGGATATCGCCCTCGGACGTTTGAACAGCTCAAGCCAGCTACAGACAGCGTCCTGAAACACTTAGAGCTGTGTACGTCATCCCGTGACGTTCGCACAGCTGTGGAAGCCTACCAGCAACGCCTCCATAGTTGTGAAGACCATCCAGCCACGCTTCCATAGCTGTGAACACCATCCAACGACGCCTCCATAGCTGTTAACACCATTCAGCGATGCCTCCAGAGCTGTGAACACTATCCAGCGGCGTCCACAAAGCTGTGAACACCGCCCAGTGACACCGCCATCAACCATGAGAACCTAGTGCAGCATCGTCCCTCCGCGGCCGCATCCCGTGACCCCGGCTCGCCACAGCGCGGGTTTGCACACTACCGCCCTCAGGCCTGCAGGAACATCCGACACGCTGGCGCCGTCCAGCGATGCCGCCGACGCGCCGACACATGGGCAGCTACTGACCGCTGGACTGCATTCCCACGGTCGTGGTGGCGTCACGCACCGCCGCGGCTCGGGTTTCTGCACTCGGGACCACGTGCTCGCCGGGAGCGTGGTCGCGGTACAATGGGTGACGAGCTGAGGCATGTCCGTGCACCGCTGCAAGGAATAGCGCCGACAGCAGCCGTGCCCAGAGGCCACGTGCCGCTCGATGGCGGCAGTCGCGCAACCGCCCACCCTGGGACACGTATACGTAGCTAGGACGGTGAAGATACCATCGAGGTGGAACTTACACCATGCCGTGGCTAGGTTTGGTAGAAACCCACGTATCGACCACGGCACCGCAAAGACCTCCCTTCATTAGCCTTCTGATCGAAAGAGAAAAACCAAAACGGGGTAAGGATCGCGAAAGTTGTTACAGCGTGGGCAGTTTAACAGAGTTTCAAAACATGCAAAATGACCAGTAATTTGGCGGAGTCGCAAAGTGGGGGTAAGACTGTGGCCATCCTGGGTTACCTACGACATCGAGACTCGTCTTCACCGCCGCTGTACGGGTGCTCGAATGGGCTACCCACGAGAGCGGCCTCACGTCCGGCCGCTCTCGTGGGTAGCCCTGACGGCCGGAGCAACCTCGCCCCCTCCCAGCGAATGACGCCCTGCCAGGATACCCGATGACGTGACGAAAGAGAACAACAGGCCAAAAACCAATCGCCAATAGTGCTCCACGTTTGCAAGCATGGCTGGCAGAAATCTGCCTACCTTAATCATAGCTGTAGACGTGATTCGAAACAGCGTCGCCCTCCCGTTGACCTGCTTCACCTTCGCCGTGACCTCCTGAGCGCTCTCCGAGTTCTCCAAGTCGGCCAGGGATCTGTGACAAGCAGTACAGTTTGGTGAGAAACTCGGTCACGATAGCAACGAGCACCGCATATCGTACGTAACTGCCATCCATGGATGTCACAATGGTGCAGGGGTCGCATGAGTCAACAGATGAACCCTACAACCTGTTTTACGAGGGTTGTTGCAGATGATAGCAGGCATATCATGGCGGTCTCCGGTGGCTCGGTGACGGTACGAATTGCTGACACCCTGCTCTACATACGTAGTGGCCAACGGTTTGATCATGTCCCGGTCATATGGTGGTCAATGGTTTGTTCATGCCCCGGCTATGCGGTCACCAATGGTTTGACCATGCCCCGGATATGTAATGGTCAATGGTTCGTTCATGCCCCGGCTAGGCGGTCATCAACGGTTTGACCATGCCCCGGATATGCAATGGTCAATGGTTCGTTCATGCCCCGGCTATGCGGTCATCAACGGTTTGACCATGCCCCGGATATGCAATGGTCAATGGTTCGTTCATGCCCCGGCTATGCGGTCATCAACGGTTTGACCATGCCCCGGATATGCAATGGTCAATGGTTCGTTCATACCCCGGCTATGCGGTCATCAACGGTTTGACCATGCCCCGGATATGTAATGGTCAATGGTTCGTTCATGTCCCGGCTATGCGGTCATCAACGGTTTGACCATGCCCCGGATATGCAATGGTCAATGGTTCGTTCACGCCCCGGCTATGCGGTCATCAATGGTTTGGCCATGTCCCGCATATGTAATGGTCAATGGTTCGTTCATGCCCCGGCTATGCAGTCATCAATGGTTTGACCATGCCCCGGATATGTAATGGTCAATGGTTCGTTCATGCCCCGGCTATACGGTCATCAATGGTTTGACCATGCCGCGGATATGTAATGGTCAATGGTTCGTTCATGCCCCGGCTATACGGTCATCAACGGTTTGACCATGCCCCGGATATGTAATGGTCAATGGTTCGTTCATGCCCCGGCTATGCGGTCATCAACGGTTTGACCATGCCCCGGATATGCAATGGTCAATGGTTCGTTCACGCCCCGGCTATGCGGTCATCAATGGTTTGGCCATGCCCCGCATATGTAATGGTCAATGGTTCGTTCATGCCCCGGCTATACGGTAATCAATGGTTTGACCATGCCCCGGATATGTAATGGTCAATGGTTCGTTCATGCCCCGGCTATACGGTCATCAACGGTTTGACCATGCCCCGGATATGTAATGGTCAATGGTTCGTTCATGCCCCGGCTATGCGGTCATCAACGGTTTGACCATGCCCCGGATATGCAATGGTCAATGGTTCGTTCACGCCCCGGCTATGCGGTCATCAATGGTTTGGCCATGCCCCGCATATGTAATGGTCAATGGTTCGTTCATGCCCCGGCTATACGGTAATCAATGGTTTGACCATGCCCCGGATATGTAATGGTAGAGCAGAGTCCCGGTAGAGTCCCACGCCGGCCTCCCCATTCCGTTGTTCGCGCGACCGTAAGTGGACCGCACGTGGCGCCTTTCAGCGTGACCGGCCGGGAGCCGAAGACCCGGCCGCCATCATCAGCCGGCCACTCAACGACCAGGCCCCGGTTTTTCATTGGCCTACGATCTACGCTCCGATCAAAGAGGTAGCAGCCTGTGGAGCCATCGATGCGCACTATTGCAGGACGCCTTTTGTCCCAAATACGGACAGCAATTAGAATCAGCTGACGCAACCCCATGGAGGAAAAACGCGTGCAGAAATGGCGCATTTGAATGCATTCAGTAACAGAGTTCTCGGAAGTCGCGTGCCCGAAGCATCACTGTCAATCACGCAATCCACATTTGATCGAGACCAGTCCATTTGCCCGCCATGCAAGCCCGTCCACAGTGCGTCGACCGTTGCTAGGTGTTGCTATGTAAGCAGCAACAACTTATTTGTAAACAAACGCACTTCTTCGCTTCTTTTGACCCTAGTCAGGCTTGGTCGGTAACGTCATAAGTAAGGAATGAGCGTACTGCGAAACAGGGGATGCACTTCCATTTGTCGACGGAGACTGGGTCCGAGGTGGTTGTGTCAGGCGGTAACTCGCGAGTACAAAGACCCTGGGGCTGTGCTCGCGCTCGCTGACCGGCCGGACGTCACCCGGCCGGCACGGGGACCATTGTACCGCACGCAGGTAGACAGCACGAGCGGCCAAATGTCGACACAAAGGGCGCCTATGACAAGGCGACAGAAGTCACAGCGCGGCACGGCGCCGTCCACCTTCCCGAAGGTCAAACACGCTCGAGCAGCACGTGCGTTTTGGACTTTCGCTCAATCTTTATAGGTTTACATGCTTTACCTGCTCAGATTATATTTTTCCCGGACAGATCACTTCTACATTCCGCGACGTGGTGTCCACGCCGGAAATCGATCCCGTCCGTACCAACGTTGTAGCGGCGAGATTGTCCAACGCCACCACGAAAACATCCATTTGCATCATCAGCACACTGCGCGTTGGACTGCACGCGGTCAACGTGACACCTCAACCCCAGCCGGCCGCCGGCTGACCTGTTCGTCAGGAGGCGGCTGGTGAGCTCGGCGGCGCGCGCCACCTTCTGGCGAGCGACAGCCGGCGGCCGGACGGGCGTGCGGGTCCAGTGCGGGTGGGGTGGGGGTTCAGTGCGTGGGGCGTCGGACAGACGGGCCGCGGCACGCGCGGTCCGAGCGTGACCACTAGCCTGACGGCTGACGCCACGCATCAGCGCGCAGGCGCCGCAGCGCCGGCCCAGATTAGGCTGATACGGGGGCGCGACCGGGCGGCAGGGTCGTAGGCAGCGCCGGACCCGCGTCATCGGCCAGATTAGCTATTGAGCTGACCGTGTCGGAAATCATTACCAGGGCGGGCGCGGCACATGCGTGCGGCGTCTTTACATCAGACGATGATGATGGAAGATTTACTGCGCGTTGACGTCAAATTTTGTTCCCAGCACGCCTGTTGGGCACATTAAATATCAGCTAGCAAGGTGAGGATAAAGCTACAAGCATCTGCAAAAAAATACAAAACGACAACAGCTGACTCCGACTTAACAAGAAAAGGTCGCTTCCCAAAATGTCACGACAAGTCGAAGACAGAGCTTGTCGTCCAAAACAACGCCATCACCATTTTACGAACAACGAACAGGAGTCAAGCTCGTGGTAAATGGCTACCGGTGCGCTGCACCTGGGGTGATGGGGTCTGTCCTCACCGAACAACAGGCAGCCATGTATCGCACGAGTCCAACTGTCGCATGAGTGCAACCAATATGCGGCCGGCACAGCAGGGTCTCTTCATGATCAGCCGTACGCGAACTTGACAGTCGAAGGTCTGAGCCCGACTGCGGTTTCATCTAAGCAATTCCCGATTAAAATTGGCCAGTGCTATCAACAGTTTGCAAACTTTTAACGCATGGCGACCATAGCCTGAGATAACAGAGGTTTACCCCTTCCTCCCACGGTAATCGCGGATGGCGATTACGCCATTCGCGCACCACATTCCATGCAGGCCATTTGCAAGCTCAGTGGCCAGCACTTCCACCGAGCGAGCGGAAAAATCACTCATTTTGGTCACTTCAATTGCTCTTACATAGAGAAACTACCCCAGCTTCACGACCACAAGCAACACATGACGCAATCCACCGCTTGTGCTGCGATCAGCAAGTGGTTCTTTTGGTGTTGAAATTGTTCGTTGGATAGCTGGCCGTCTACTTAAAAACATAACATATTTGTTACCTCATCGCTACGATAACAAGCGTCGCAACCTGTCATGTCCACTGAGGCACAGTCACACATGAAACACGCAAGCGCCAAAATGACCCCCAATGCGTCTTATGTGATCGCGCCTTTCGTGCTTCATTTATTTCAAAACTGAAATATTCAAGCGTCGTTAAATTAGCCATACGCATGGTCCTTCAAACCTTGCGGCAGGACTACAACAGCGCTTTAACATGCTCTCTGGCATTAAACATATTCAGTATTGGTGATTTTCATGGCAGCGTTTCGCAATGTCAGCTCCACGCCGCTGCAGGGCACGCGCCACAAATAGCCTAAGATATAACGCATTCAATCCTCGCGAATAAAATTCGACACATCGCAATACGCATTTATCTCTACTCATCCCAGGACTAGAATAACGATATTCCAGTCCAGTATCCCACATTACGGTGAAACCTCTTCCTCAAAACCACGAGCTTTTTGTAACAATCCACTGACCTGTGTAGGGTGGAGGCGTGCTTTGCGATCAGATCGTGACAAGTTTGCAAGTCCTCCAGCTTCGCGTTCAGCGTGCTGATCACGGCCTGGATATCGCCCTTGTCTGGCTCTTCTTCTTCATCGAAGCCATCCTCCTCTGGGAGCACACAGGCACACACACAACGCCGCATTAACACGAGTAGGTTAACTGCCTGGTCTCCATTGCATTATTCGGGCAGTTGAAAACCACACCCAAGCAGGAGCCATCTGAACAAAAGATACGGAGATGAATGACATACACACTCCACAATGAAGCTTCGAATGCATCACAATCAACGCTCGAAATTAAGAACGTGCAAACACCTGAACACGTGACAACTAGAAATTTAGGGCATCCTTTCAAATATGAGGTATTAAAAGCTATATGCAATTAAAATATCCGGTGTTCTATCATAACGAAAAGAAAGCAGCTTTTGCTGACCACGTAGTTGGACAAATACGCCAAACACGCGGCCAAAAAAACAACACTATTGCACGCACTTCGAAATATGAATGCTACATAATCTAACTACTTTGGGCATACGCCACAAGCAGCGCCGGCTATACCAATATCGCGGTCCAGCCGCACACCCACCAAATCGATGGCCATCAATACCCCCGTCCAGTATTACACACGACAATAATTAGATCCTATTGGGATCGGCTACAACATCAAAACATACACGCACACTGCTACGCTTACCAGAGTCGAGTGCCCTGATAGCCTTGGCCTTAGCCAGCTCCAGCGCGGTGATCCAGCGCTGGCGCTCGATCTCGTTGGGCGTCTTCAGGTGGAACGTCTGTGTGCCACCATTGGACACGTTGGAGATGATGAAGTTGCACGAGTCCTCGCAGTGGATCGCCGCGCCGTGCAGGCTGATGGTGCCCCGGCACGTGTGCGCCATCTCCGCCTGGGTCCTGACAGCGCGAGGCGACATCACACACCAGCGCGCGCTCGCCGCTGTCGTGCCCCGGAAGGATACATGTCACATAACAATTACAATGGATGTGGCCGTAGAATGTGACCATAATTGGTGACGGAAATGCTCAGAAAAGCTGCACCAACAATAGAAATGCTTTTAAAAGCCACGCCTTTTGATCAAAGGAAGGGTGGTCGTCACTTAATTTGCCAATTGACGAGACCATATTTATACCGATGACATCTGTGTTCGCAAGTCCAGTCAAGAAAAGCAGAAATTCGTTGTTTCCGTTACTTATATGCGTAACTGAAAATGAAAACCTGAAATAGCCGAAAGAATATACCCTCAATGTTTTCCTTTCAACACACTTCCGCCCACGTTTTCCGACTCGTCGCATTCCGGGGCGGGATCCCTGCACCGCACCACCCCAGTCCCATTGGATTCGGGCACGGCCAGTCGCGCGGTACAAAAGGGCTGTCGGCCCCCGTTGGCTTCTACCGCTCGGGCGGAGGTGCCGCGCATGCCTCCACGACGCCTGCGTGCAGCGCCAGCGTCTGTCTTCAGAGCATGTAGCCACGCCAGAGTAGGCAATGTTACCGTGAGATCAGTCCTGGACTCAGCCATAGGCTCACGCCTGCTAACACTTCGCGGTTCCAAAACATTTCCTTTCCTTGAAAAGCGAGCACAATTTGCCGGCATTTATACTTTATCAAGACTTCCATTACCTTTATTCGCCCACTCGTTGCAAAAATATCAAAGGCCAATGAACACTGTGACAGCACAAATGGCGTCGCTGACATTGGGCTATACCAAACGTCCAATGCCGTCACACAAATGGCACTGCCCTACGGGCCATCCGCATATTCCGTTAACCAAGGAGGGGAAGGGGGATGGAGCGTAACAAAAGTGTATGAAGATGGACGAAAGGCATCTTTAGCCCAATAAGGGGCTATACAGACTTGTTCCTTTTTGGGACGATGAACTTAACAGAACATAACTTGGAAGGAGGAGAGCGTTTTCGCCCAGTGTGTCAAATGTGTAACTACGAGGATGGAGAGTTGAAAATAGAAAAATGCACATAATGATTTCGGGATGGTCTCCTATCCCGACCTACAATACCGTATCACACAGATCAATTTACAAATATATCGGAAACGTGGCTTTCTAAAATCTCCCCATAACAACCAGACAAAGCATTTGAAAACTAAGGTCTGCTGCCTATTTCACCCACACCAGACACACCCATGACGCCAGCAGACCATCACCGCACCACGGAAATATTTTTCAGAAAGGCAGCAAAACCGTTGCTCGAATTGCGATCATCCATGGATGTGTTTGTGAAAACAACGGACAGCATCTTAGATCCGACGACTTTCCAATAATATATAAATATAAGCATCAAATATGGCTTTCTCACACCTATCTTGGACAGAGTCAGTTTGATCTTGTCAGGAGCAAACTGTTAAAGCTACTGGCCATTCCCATTTCCCTGACTGTGTGGAAACCACACCATGACAACACATGTACATTGTAGGGATGACCAGATCACAGCAACGACCTCAAATTAAGCTGCCGGAGAATGTGACAAGATGTCACCTCCTTGCCTGACATTTTACTTAAAGTAGCTCCCAGAGCTCAGTATCCTTACCTGTAGTATGAAAGCAGTCCATTGGAAAGCACAAACCACCTCTTCTGATATCCCTTTATGTAATTTGTCCACTTGTAGAGCCAGCCTTTAATCTCTGGCTCTGTCACCTTCTCCTTGGTATCCATTGTGAACAGGCACTTTTATCAGGTGTTCATATGATTCAAATATCACAGCTACACTCGAATCACCTGTAACACAATGGGGTTGTTACTTGGTTGTGAAGATATATGGTGTAACAAAAATAGTAAATAACTGACCAACCCATGGGGTGGGGGGGGGGAGTCATAGTACCCAACATGCTGGATTAAATATTATCTGCAGCTTGTTTACCATGTACAGACATTAAAGCTGACTATTCAGATTCATTTATTCCCAAAACACCATGGTCTCATGAATTCTAAGAACACATGCTCACACTAGAGCTGAAGATTGTATGCATTTTGGAATTCTAGTCATAGGTTTGTTGTATTTGGATTCAGCTTTGGACTCAATATTTCAGTAGCTTCCAATTAACCCACTTTTCAAGTGATCTGATTGCTTTGTGGCTTATTGTTCTAACCGCTCCTACCACGGGCACATTTCAATGTCAATCAAAATGTGGAGGGGGAAAAGCCCCCATGTGGAAGAAAATGCATGACAGGCCACTCAGCCTGATGAAGCATCAAGACATATATGCCATATCTAGCCAGCTTAAAACAAATGTGAGCCAAGAAAACATTTCAATACATCTACTTGAATATCTTAATGGTGGCTATAAATATGTACTTGTGGTGTTTAAAATCTGAATGTATGTTTTCAGGCTTTAACCCCTTGTTCTTAGGATACAAGGGTTCATAACATTCAAATGCTTCCTTAACCTGGTGAGAAGCTGCCCATCTGAGAGAAAAGTAGAAGCATGGGCTGGGATAACTTGATTCCATGGGTTAGAACTGCTCTAGCACAACCTTATTATCCACAATTTACCAATGGCAGAGCCTGATAAGAAAGAATGCAGAAAGACAAACAAAACTTCACTTAAGAAGAATATTGCCTGTCACCCCTTTCTAAATTACATAGCAAAATATCACACTCTCAGGTTCCCCAGCTATAGCTGAGGATTCAGGTTCAAATGATTTGAGGAGACTCAATACTTGTTAACCCTCAAATACTGAAAATGATTGCTCAAATTCTGAAGATCAAGACTTATGTTATGTTAGACTCAGGAGCTTATGTTAAATCCTGAAAGCCATCACATGAACATGCACAGAATGCATTTACACATGGTTTGGGTAGAAATAATAAACAATAATCAAAATTAGCCTGGGGTGGTCTGAGTCAGGTCATATTTAGATGGCATGCTAGGCATGACTGATTTCAAATTTGTAAGCATCTGGGGATGGTCAACACACCTGCCACATGCTATGAACAATCAGTATCCTATACAAAACACCAATGTTTAGGCTTAAACCTTAAGATTGACCAAATGATTGGTGTTAGGTGTGTTACCTGTAATGTCCACATCAACTGTCCAACTACTGACACTCCAGAAACAATACAAATTGGCACAATATTTTTTTAAAAAATAAGAGCAATAATGTGCATTTCCCTGATCAAGTATCCATACACTTCAAAAGCATGGGATGACTTGGGCCATAGGAATAACTGACAGGATCAGGCAAGAGACAGAAATGATTTTAAATATGGCATATTTTGCATGTTAATGTGGCAAGTTATGTAAGTTTTAGTAAAACAAGTTACCAATTTCCAGCAAAAACAGGCCACTTCTTCTCAATGCCACTTGCACTTAATGGGCTGAACGTCAATAAAACCCAAAAACATGAATTACACTCAACCAGTATCATATATTTTGGGGTATTTTGGCACTATAAAATTCCAAGCTTCACACTTCAACTTATGTGACATTATAACTTTACCACCCCATGGTGCTACAATAATTAGCCTAGTCTATAGTGAGTTAATCTTTGGGCCAATACTATTATAATGCACTGCTCAAAGTAGAATATATGTGCTTAACCAGTTATTTAAAATAAATAGTAAAATAAAAATAATAAAAAAATAAAAAAATAAAAAAATAATAAGTATTTGATATGGTAGATACTGTATATGCTATTGCAAAAGAAATGTGCTGTGGTTTAGGATGTTCAGGAACTATTGTTGTCAGTTGCAATCCAACATCTCTCACAACCATGTGGCTCCATGGATCATAAAATTGACACTGTACCTGTGGCCAAGGAGGTAAGAAAGAGAAGCACATTTCTATTTTATACCCACTCATCACATTCTTGTGCAATAGTCATAGTCAATAGCCATATAAAGTGGAATCTAATCAGTTCAACCACACAGGCATGCATGAAGAGGTCAAGTGGCAACTAACTCTGGAACAGACCACTCCATCACACAGAGGCTGTGCTATGGACATGTATGACACAAGTGATCTATCCATATCATTGATCTCTTCTGGCCACCAAGAAGCAAACAGGATGCATCAGTAAGTACCTCATTAGGTATCCTTTGCAGTAAGTAGGCAAAATATAGCTTTTGACACATAGCTTTTGCTTTGGGCAGTCAGTTACAGGTAAGGGGGAGCATCTGCTTAGAAATAAGCTCAAGCACAATAATAATAATCTAAAGCAACTACAATAAAATCACACTAAGTCAGGTGTGACCATTAAATTATCACCCACAATGTAACTCATATATAACAACATCCATCTTATCCACACCAATATTTCAGGAATTTCTTGAAATGCATGCAAAGTTGTTTCATGGATTACTGACATGGTACACAAATCCAGACGTAAAGCTCCATAGCCGACAATCACGTTCTTATCATACCTATCACCCAAAATATGCACGCGGCGCTAGCTCGCCCTCAAACTACTCAAAAAAGTCAGCCTACCGCGCATATATCCAATCATCTGTAAAATTTCAAAAGCGTCAAGACAAAAGTTTCACCCCTCTCACGTCCATTACCCCACCAGGCCACGGAATTAAACACGAGCGCTGGAACTCAGCCCACCACCCACACGTCCACACCTCTCCCATTGGCATTCAGGTTTCAAGGTTGTGCGTCTGCTTTTCAGCTGACCAAGGAAGTGGTGAAACGGGAAATGGAATCAGCTAAGTTTTTGATGACGTCAACCAGCTGGTGAATTTTCGAGCGGGTAGCTATTCTAAAAAAAATATTTTCCGATATAAGGACTAGACCCCAGAGCAGCATGCTAAACCCAAAAATTGCGTTTGGGGACTACTTTCCAATCGAATATGTTCATGCTGAGCTGCATGTGGTGGTCTAACGAACTATTTGGTTCTGGGAGTGCAAGGTGGTGACTCTCTTCCAGTTTCAAGAAAATCGTGATTTTCCAGTCCTAGATCGGTCCGCAAATGTCCGGCTTATTACATGAAATTGTCTCCTGCCACTCCCAAAGTAACTCAGTTATCTACCACTTGCCACTTGAGCCGGCCCAGAAACAAGACATGGGATGTCTATACCGCATTGATATGCTTAGATTACTTCAATATTGGCCGGATACAGATCCCTCGCCTGGCTCCAGCTGTCTCATAGGGTCCCCGGCTTAACGGCACATGATGGCTACCCATCATTCTGCTATGGACGAGTCGTATGTGGTCCGGTTTAATGGGAGAGGGCATACAATCGAGTTGCGGTGCGTCTTCAGTCATCGCTAATCGGCGGGAGAGGCGCAGTTTACACAGATGATTCCAGGTGTCATATCGATGACAATACAAAATTTTAGAGAACTTTTTCGTATGTATTTCGTTCCGAGACAGAACAATAATCACATCCATTACTATCAGCCATAAAAAAACGCAAATATAGCAAGGACGAGACAATAAATATAAAAATAACAAAAAGGACGTAGTTCTTGCATCTTGCAAGTGTCCGCGAGCGGACAGTATCTCACGAACACTGTAAAAACAAAGCATTATAGTCTGGACCAGCCTGCTGTCTAACCATGTACACGCGGAGCAACACAATAGAAATCAGCTCCCGCAGCGCGGCTTGGATGTAGCACTGCATTGGCGATCTCGTGGAATATCAGCGACTGGACGACTGGACAATAACAGACAGAAGCTCACAACAGGCGTAAAACATTGAGAAACGACTGCGATACTTCTGTTCATCAACGCAGTTGTACAAAGCAACCATGTCTGCCAGAACAACTAAACAGGGCGTCAGGGGAACCAGCTGGAACGACTAAATCAGGCGTTGCGCCCTGCTGTCAGCAGAGGGCAAGGGTGGATCCAGAATGCCGCTGCAGTGGGCGGTGAGGCAGTGTTGGATTGGGGGGTGAAGTTAAAAATGTCATGCTTCTGAGAAAAAATAATTAGCTTTCATTTCTTTTGACTAGCAAACATTCTTACCTATATTTGCTTCGAAACCTGAAAATGCCCTTTTTTGCCTAACCTTGGGCATCTTGGGGCGGGAGGTGTAGTGGAGAATTTAACCAGTATTTTCTGGCTTATTTTCAGTGTGGCAGCTTGGGACGATATGTTACTTAACCTGATAATTGACGATAGTTTGCCCGTCAAAGCATAGAAAATCGAAGAGATTCGCAAATACCTCGTTTTGTGAGGTATATTCCATGAGACACATTTGAGCCAAACTCTCCACCACAGACGCATAGTGATGGCGTCGCCGCTTCACCGTGTAGCGATTACTTACAAGCATCTTGATTACCACTGGAAATGCAGCGGAGATTATCCCAATATTTCCTCACCAAGACAGATCGTTGACGATTCAGTGGAGCACCAGAGAAAACCGTACCAACGTCAATCGTACCAAAGTAACGTGAGGATTCTTACTTTACAAGGTGCCTGCCGAGCCAAACACGGATCAGAATACAAACAGCCAGCACCATGCTTTAAGCTGCTGTTACAAAGATGGTAGTTCCCGTCGAAATCGCACTAGTCACCAATATTTTCCAGTGATATGAAACTAATGCACTTATCAAGGGCGAATGACATCGTGTGCCATGATCTCTCTATGTACTGATGTGCTAGGCGGGATCAGCAGTGACAGCAGGAGGATCAGCACGTTTTTGACAGCCGTGTTTGAAATACAACATAATTTCACGCCACAGGTCAACTGCGCGACGGAAGAAAATGGCTCATACGAGCGACCAGCCACCTAAAGACGGCCGGGGGTTCAGGAAAAAAAAATCTCCAGGGAGAAATCAGAACATTATATCTAAGTGGCGTAATTTTCAATCGTATTGCTACTTTCCAGCAGCATATCATCAAGTAATTGCGCCTCCATCTGTACAAATATTTCACAAATGGACAACTCACCCTTTGCAAGCTCTTGGAAGCAACTGAAGCACTACGCCGACCTCCACACAAAGCTCATCACACACTGACCACCTTCCTCCAGTTATTACCATCGGGACTACATCCTGTCTCATTCCAAACATTGTATCTCGAACCACCTCCCAGATGACTGGGTCAGTCGGAAAGCTTCACGACTCGCAGCAGGACTGCGCGCAACATCTTGAGGTCCGTAAGAGAGTCGCGTCTGGGCACGGAGCGCGTGACGGATGTGATTGAGATCCGTAAGAGAGTCGCGTCTGTTTGGGCACGGAAAGCGTGACGGATGTGATAATTAAAGTGGACTGCCGCCGTCCCGAGTGTCAACCAGTAATCTGATCGGTACCAGTAACAAATTTGGACGGTGTGACGTGAACTACGAATGAAGACGACACTCCACTCGACGTAAGCTGCAAGATCTCCGAAGAGCAAAGCAGAGGCCTACCAAATGTTGATCATTTTACGCCTAATGTGGGAATGCTTTCACATATAATTGTTGGTATTTGGAGAGAGTAGGATAAAAATCCCTGCAATGGCGATATCAAACATGGTAACAAGCACACCAAACAGCACATGTCTGCGGGGTAACACATGCAACGAAATTTTGTCATCCAGCCCGAAAGCCTTCCGCGAAACGTCAAACACTCGGGCAGCTGCACGCACCAGTACTGCCATCTGCCAACGGAAACAGGCAACAGACTCACGCATACACACCAGCACACCCAGACGGGTAACAGCACAGCACAGCGACGAGCGCCGGTCGGCACAGACTAGAGGGGAGGAAGGGACGGCGCCGGGCGCTAGGCGTCCAGCGCCTGGCGCAGCCTGTCCGCCTGCAGGCGCACGTCCTCGGCCGGGTGGTGTGCGGCCAGCGCCGACGCCTTGTGCGCCATTCGGGGGCGCACGCCGACGCCGTAGATCTGGGCGTACCTGCGGCGGTCGGCGCGTCAGCTTGACGTGGCACGCACGGGCGCGGCGGAGAGGGGGGGGGGGGGCATTCGGAACGGGCGTCGGCATACAATGCGCAAGCGAAGTCACCAGGGGATAGCCTGCCCCAGCTGCAGCTTGGCTAACCGGCGGAGACGTCTCAGCAGATCCGCAGCTGCCGCCTCGACACGCCAGATGGCTGTCACAGCTCTGCCGAGCGCAGGGCGGGGGCGGCACTACGTCGGCTACCCCTGGCCACATCTGGCGTCTAGCGAACCATCGGCCCTCACAGGTGTCTGATGTCGCGGCAGTGCTCACATCACATGTAGATAAGCCCGCGCCTTCACGGCATCTATGTCGGTGTCCAATCTCGCACAATGGCTGGTACCCAATCTGTCTCCATGCGACATGAAAAATGCACAACACATCCAGTCGCGGTGACGGTCTGCCCTAGGCTGCTCGGTGCCTGGTGCCTCTGTGTGCTCACATGGTGTCGGGGGCGGCGACCTTCTGCGCCGGCGGCAGGTCCAGCGCCGGGTTGATGTGGAGCCGGGCGGCGGCCGAGGTCAGGCCGGCTAGCAGTGTCACCAGCCGCAGCAGCACCGTCTCCTCCGTGCTCGGCTCCAGGTAGTACAGCAGCTTGCGCGGACCCTGCCGAGCGCGCGCGCGCACGCGGCTCCGTCAGTGGCGGACGGCGAGCTCCATACGACGCGCTGAGCGTCGCGGACCGAGACGGAGCGGTCAGACACTGGTAGGCATCAGCTTCGAATACGACGCAGAGGTCAGATTAGGCGGCGAGACCGGACCTTCAAGTGGCTGGAACCTTGAGCCCATTCACTGACCTGAGCGGCCAACAGGGCCGGGACGGTCATGTCGTTACAGGACAGGTTCACCAGCAGACGCAGGGCGTGTATCTGCAGGCGGGGCGGCGCCTCGTCCACCAAGCTGTACAGTCTGCAACAGCGCGCCAGGGGCTCAACAGCCGCAGCCCCAGCGCACGCCCAGCACAGCTGCAGGACTGCGACTAACATCCCACGCGGTACGGGGGCAGTTGGGCAACAGCACACATGTGCCAGGCACGAATATTGCGGCTTTGCCAATCCCTAGAATGAACAATGCTGGGAGGTTCTAAACCAACATTCGATTCCACGCACAGCAATCACCATCGATCTCATTTTACAAGTTATAACCCAATTTGTTAAATCAAAAAAAAAAAAAAATGAGGGAGAACAACTCTGGTAGATGGTTACATTTAGAAAAGACTGTACTCTTACTGCCTCCTTACGTCATCTCCTGGGTGTTCCTTTATTGCATTGCTCTTCACTTCACGACACACCTGTTTTAATTCCCCGCACACAAACACTCTGCCCACGCCACTCCCAACATTTCAAGTGGTCTAGTAAGGTGCGGAGGGTTCTTCGAGAACTCAGTTCCATTCAGAGTATAACTGGAAATATGACAGACATTGGAAGCTGCCAGCATGTCATCTGTTTACCTTCACTTAACCACACATCGCACAATGAACACGAAAATGGACAAATGCATGCGTGATCCTGGGAATATGTCACCTACTCACCTAACCCCAGGATGCATGCCCATCCTGGCTACATTATTATGCAATTCGGGTCATAAATTACCTGCAAATGAGCACTGTATTACATGAAAACGGAATCCTTTCATAAAGCGTCATAGCTCCCCAAGTACATTGTTCGTGAATTGTGCAATTGTTACAGTTCATTCTTTCTTCTTTTTACCAATTAATTACATTTTTCATCTAAAACCAACAAAAGAGGACTTGATAAGGCTGTACTCCGCCGACTGACGCCCGTAGGCGGAGATTTATATCTGTCCCGCCCCTTCCCAACCCCGCTGCCGCCAGCCGATCTCTTGTTGGCCAGTACTCGCCGGCGGTGGGCGTGCGTGACGTTAGTGGAGCGGGCGCCGCGCGCCGCGCGTCCGGCCAGCCGGCCCACTCACTGCGAGAGGTGTGCCGTGAAGAGCTCGTGCCAGCGGTCCAGCACGGCAACGTTCACCAGACAGGAGAGCATCGGTTCTAGTACGTCGTCGTCCTCCGTCTCCAGCATGGACAGCAGCACCTCCACACATTCCTGCTGGCCACAGCCGGTGGTCAGCGGCACAGGAGCGGGAGGGGAGGCATCACACGCGAGAGCGACCCTCTTACCACAGCCGGACAAGTAAGCGGCGCACGGAGCGGAAGGGGATGGGGGGGGGGGGGCGTCACACGCGAAAGCGACAGTCTCACCACAACCGACGGTCAGCGGCGCACGGAGCGGACGGGAGGACGGGGGAGGGGGGGGGGGGGACGGGGACGGCACACGCGAGAGCGACCCTCTCACCACAGCCGAACGAGTTAGCGGCGCACGGAGCCGGATGGGGGGGGGGAGGTGTGTCAGACGCCAGCGACCCTCTGGGCGGGCGCGCGCGTATGCCCATTGCCACTGACCTGCATTTGGTCCTGGTTTTCCTGGCTGAGGGCCATATTGGCGACCGTCTGGGCGGCAGCCACCTGCACCTCCGGACAAGGATGCAGCAGGTGAGCCGACAGCACTGGCATCAGACCCTCCCGCCGGAACAGACCCTGGCCAGAGAAACAGGGACCAGTCACAAATCACACTATCGCCACCGAACAGAAGCCGTCGAGAAAAACCTACATCGGTTCAGACCAGATATTTATACAGATCGAGTCCAGGGATCAGACCCATATGTGAGCTTGACCATGCGAGCAATTTTGAGTCTGATCACTTGTGGCATACCTAGATGCTGGTACAGACTCCGTGTGGAAAAGCCAAGGCCAGTTGTTACATGACAACACCAATAAGGCTGTGGCGTCTGCCGTCGAGGGCCTATCGTAATTACAAGCGTTCAGGGTGCATTGTTCACAGAGGGTATTTCCGCCACACATGACAACTCTCAAAGCCTCACTTGAATACACCTAGACCATACTGATACTGACAGGCTTTAAAAAAGCACCGCGACGCACGCCATCGCGCAGATAATCTTTCCGTGGGTTAGAGCATGTGCTGTGGTTCAGACACATGGTATTGGACGGTTAACTCCATGCTGGTGAGGTTGTCTTTAACGTACCTTCGGTGATCATCAAGTATATATGTACTTAATGATGACCTAGGCAGGCAGTGTGTGGTGTTGACCATGTCATGTAGCTGGCACATACCTGGTTACTGGTGAAAGCGCAGCAGTTCGCAATTGTGACCAGCGTTTTCTTGGTTATGTCTACGTTCGAAAATCGAGCTAGTTTCACCAGGGTGCACGCTTCTTCTTTGTCCAGTTCCCTGCGAAAGCATGCTGCTTTTGAAAACGGATAGCCTCAGGGAACCAGCAACTCCTGAAAGCAGGACTGGTGTAGCGGCGATAGCGAGGATAACGGGCCACCTGAAAATAAACTGATCAATTGCACACATTCCTACAAACAGCCGTTTCTAACACCGTTATGTTATTCACGCTTTTTAATCATAGGAGAGTAGTCAAAGCGCAGCATTTCGCCCCCCCCCCCCCCCCCCCCCCCCCCCCCCCCCCCGAGCAGCGTAATCATCCACCGAACACGGAGGCGCCCGGCCTGCCTCCCACCTGGGCTGGCAAACAATGTCTTCCAGCTGACGCAGCTGGTCCGGGGTGGGCGCGGCCGGCGCGCCATCGGACGACCCGGTCAGCCGGCGGCGGCGCGCCACGAGCAGCGCGCGGCCGCGCGGCGACGCCAGCTGGTCGCTTGAGCGCGATGACGTCATCAGCTGGATGTCCACCGGCGACAGGATGCGCGGCGAGCTCCAGGGCGTGCACTGCGGCGGGTCATCGAGGCAGGTCACCGGCAGCGCACGCTCCGACGGACAATGGGGAGGGGGCTTGATGGTGTGCGTTATTGTGGAGATGGACGACAGTCGAAAATCAGGTGAATAAACCAGCAGCAGCAAAACTGAACAAGCGACCCGAGCCCCTGAGTGTTCCACCATGAACGACGAACCAAAATACAATATCCAATACATTATTACACAAAGCAATGGTCGGGCAGATGTATCCTAGGCGACCTCTCAATGGTGCCGACGCCCCATCGCCGGCTGACATGACATCGCTAGTGGCCTCTCGAGCCGGCGCTTCACCATGCGGGTCACCCCTGTGCCCAGAGACCCTGGCCGACCTGCGAGCTGCGGTAGTGCGGCCGGCGCGCGCCCGTCTCCTGCGTCTGGATGGCCAGCATGGTCTCGGCAAACTGGCGCGCCTGCAGGTTCAGCTGTCGGATGCGCTCCTGGACGGAGCGCGGCTTGATGGCGATGGTACCGCGTTCGCCGTCTAGCTCGGCCAGCATCAGGTCCGTCTGCGTCGTCTGCGACAGTCGCCGCAGGTACACGCCCTTCTTCTCATCTGCAGTGCGCATTCGGCGGGCGTCACGCACCGCTCAGTCGACGGCGGACGCGTGTCGCGGATCGGGCACAGGGTCGGGCGATGTCGGCAGCAGCCCAGCATGAGGTGTGGCTCTCATTAACACATTGCAGATGTGGCCCAAGCATGCACACTGCACAGTAAATATGCATTCATTCTGTATGGCTGTATGTCATGACAGCCTTTTGACATTCAGCTAGCGATGCTATGTGAGCTGGCATATCCCACCTCTCACCCAGCGGGAGAGGTGGACACTAGACATGGTTGGAAATCAAACCTCTGAACCTCTGGCCTAGCAGAGGCACAGCTTAAAAACTACACTTCTGCTAGAGCTTTTGTTTGTCTGCACTTTCATTAGGACTTATTCATGACAATATTCTTTCCCATCACCTTCCAAATATATCACTAATGCCAGTTAGAGGACAAAGACATAAATCCCAAAAGAGAAAAATGACACAAAATTTATCTTGCCCTTTACAACCTATTATCATAGGTATAAACATGCATTAAGTACTTACCCTTTTTTGAACGTTTTCTGCTCCCAATCTGATGCCTGAACAAAGTGTACCCCACATATGCAAACCCGGCAAAGACTGCAGAGCAAAATGCAACCTTGCTCACTTCACGCTCATTCATGGGTAGTATTTATCATATCCCCACGTGAAGCCACAAAATTGAAATATTCCAAACAAGTTTTGTTGCTGTGATGGAAACCTGTAACAGCAAAACATTTTAACATTATGCATTGTGCTTACTCTGAAAAATAGCAATGCAATATCATATATATTTCCAAAAATACTTGCACTGAATGTGCTGAGTTACCAACCCTGTGTGCATGCTGTTCCATATAATTGGCAGTTTGACAGGTAGGTCTAATTCATAATTTACAAAAACATTCATCCTATAACCCAAGTATATATATAGATATATATATATATATAGATAGATATAGATATATATATATATATATATATATATATATATATACATATACATATATGCTTTGATCTTAAAGTTTGAAGTCACTATATGTAAAGCACAGGAAAGTTTCCCCATCATTGAATGACTTGTATTGTTTGTTCAACATGATCAATAATAAGTCAGCAACAGGGTCCATACAGTCATTATTCCTCCACAGTAATAGAGTGTTCCTACAGACTGTTTCCGGTTTGAAAAAGACCTAACTATTTGTGCATTAAGGGGTGTGAGGATGCATTTGGGCTGGACCATAGCAGCTCTTCTACAAGTGCTAGTCTATGACTGGTTAGTTTATCTACATTGATCCAGTGGTATGCTGCAATGTACCACAACAGACTGCACGCAACATAAAATATCACCTTGCAACTGCATGCCGTCAGACCCCACGCACCAGCACTCTTGACAAATCGTTAGTGTCACGGGAATGAAAGGAAGAGCATCATCCCACCTCATTTCTAAATAAAAAAGCTAAAGCTTGAATACAGTTTTTTCAAACCTATCTCATCTTAAACACAATAAACCGCACAAAAATGCAACCGTCAGACGACCCACCACCCCACTCGCACCTCACACCCCGCAGCGCTGTCCGTGAAGCGTAAGTTCGTGTCTCTGTATCTCGCCTCTTGTTTGAGAACCACTATTATATGGTAGCATTTTCCAAAATAAGATAAGAGTTAAGAAAAATTGTTTTAGAAAAGAATTTAGTCAGATAATGAAAAAAAACATAAATCTTTAGGATGTTTTTATGAAGATAAAGTTCAAACCTTTGATTTGAGCTTCATATGAGTAAATCCAAAACTGAAACCTTGTCAACATAAGGGTTTGGAGACCACTGCTACCTATTAAGAGCATCTAAAGAAAGGGATTCCCTTCCAGCGACTATTTCAATTCCACCGCACAAAAGACACCAAGGTGGTCTACCTAAAACATCGTGAAAGCACCGTGGGTCGGTCTGGAGAGTCGCGAGGGAGGGCGCTGGGATGCATTGCTTGGCTACACATAATTTCGATTTACCGTGACTCTAGTTTGCCTGTAAAGACGTAAAAAGTGTTTGTCGTGGAAAGTTAGCAAGCCTGTGATTATTCATATAGTTGTATGGTTTTGTGTATCCGTTGATTGCAAGGCCAGTTCAACTCTTTGCAGGCTGCGTTCCTTGTGATCGGAGGATGCCGTTCCTGCGCGCACTCATAGTGAGTCGCCTGCGCTGTCGGCATTGTTCATTCTCATCACTCCTGACATTTGAAAAGCAGAGTAAGTCATCTGGTAAGGAAGGTAACTCTACACAAGAGCTTCCACAAGACAAACCTCAATTTGGCGACCATGCATTGTCTAACCATCGAGATGGTCATAGACATCATGTCAGCAGCATGCAAGATGATAGCAGCCACAAAGCTACCAGCAAGGCTGGTGAATGGAGTAAAGGGTATGACAATTTTGATCATTTGGTAGGGAGGAAAGATGACACAAGACATCAAAAACAAATTCAAAAGAATAGCAGTAGATATAAAAACAGCAGAAAGGAGTCCTTCAGAGATGAATGGGATGAAGGAGAAGATGGTCCTTGGGATTTAAATGACAATGGCCATGACTCCTTTCCCACAAAATGGAGTAGAAAGCACAACCAATGGTCTGACAAATCTGAAACACCTAAGAAGTTTGCTGAAAAAATAGATAAAGGGAGCAAAGTGACCACAGCAGATGGTGATCACTTTGATCATCATTCTGGCTCTGTCCCTTGGCATGATCAACGGCGTGACCACTGGCCAGGCAAACCTCGTGGCAGCCATGTGAGGCCAAGTGACAAACCACGTGGAAAGAAGCTGCGTAAGAAGGACAAGCTGGGCTTCATAGAGTCAGAGTTGGTGGATGGGGATGAGGACCAGGTCCAGGTGCTGTACGGTCTGCACCCAGTGCAGCTTGCGCTGGCAGCCGGTCGGCGCACGGTCCACCGCGTGTACCACCGCCAGGAGGCAACGAGCGGCCGGCTGTCACGCCTGTTGGCAGAGTGTGCGGCGCGCGGCGTCGGCACCGTGCCGCTGCCGGTCACCCAGCTGGACACGATCGCGCGCGGCACGGGTGTGCACCAGGGCGTGTGCGCGCGGGTCGGGCCTCTGCGGCCGCGGCCAGTCTCCGAGTTGCTGACTGAGCTCGGCTACCCGCCGGTGGCGACGGACCCTGACAAGCTGGAGGTTGGGGTTGCAGATCTTCCCACTGTTGGTGATCCGGTGCCGGTGGGATTTCCCGTGGCCGCGGCTGGCGCGGCGCTGTGTCGTGAACCTGCCCCGGATGATGCTGTAAGGCTTGGGAGAGCCGCTGCGGGGAGGGATGAAGACCACCGGTCGCCGCCTCAGCCCGGGATGGACGCAAGGGCTGGGAAGAACTCAGCGACGCCGACGGCAGACGCCGGCGTTCATGTGCCTGAAGAGGAGAGGGCGGACGACGTTGTCGGCTTTCAGGCGTCGGGAGAGCGAACCGCCCACCGACGGCGGCTGTGGCTGCTGCTGGACCGAGTGCAGGATCCGATGAACTTCGGCTCCATCCTCAGATCCAGCTACTTCCTGGGCGTCGATGCGATCCTCATCCCCGATAAGAACAGGTCGGTTGCCTGTGATTTTTGTTTTTTTCTTCCCGTCGTGGGTGAAAGAGGTGGTGTTCTGCGTATTTCGCATTAGTCGCAGCACTGATGACGGGTTGCATATGTTTGACAGACAGAGAACAAATGTATGTAAGCATTAGGTATGTGTGCATTCAATTGGCAGGGTCGTTTATCATGCTTATTTCAGTTTATAGGCAGAACTCCAAAATCAAAATCTTCGCAAATTGTGATGTACATACGTTTTTGTGCAGGTCGTCCACATGTCTTAAATCACTTGGAATGTAAATGTGCATAAATACAACATATGTGCATCCCTCAGAATTTAACAGCCTTTCACTACCTACCCAGAGGCTTGAGCATTCCCTGACTTATGTGGACTATCTATTGAGCCCTTGATTTGACAAGCCTTACGGAAAACGTGAGAGTTGTGGCTGCTGGCGATGGTCCTGCTTTGTCAAGTAAGGTCAGATCAGTCTGTGCCAGTGCATAGTTTTTCATTTTAAGGCTGTGGATGCCATAGTTCCCAGTTTGTACGTTAAACCGAAAGCCTGGGAGCTTAAGATGCGCCTTTACTTCGTAAATCTGATGCCACATAGATTACATGTTGGCTGGCGCCTAATTGCGTGCCTAAAATGCACTGAAATACGTATGCTATGCCGCCCTTGGCTATGCCGGACGATATACGCATATCTGGAAATTTGAAACGTGCATTACATATGCGGGAACTTCCGCAAAGCAGCACTTCGCGCAGCTGGATCCCGCTGTCTGACGGCTGCAGTCCCGCTGTACGCAGTGCGTCAGGTTCTGATTTCTCATCGTTTGTCGCCGCCAGCTGCCCACTGTCGCCCACCGTGAGCAAGGCGAGCGCCGGCGTGCTGGAGGTGTTCCCGACACACTCGGTGCCGTCCGACGGCTGCGAGCAGCTGCTGCAGCTGCTGCGGGACCGCGGCTGGCAGCTGCTGGCCGCCGGCGCGCACGGCGAGCAGGCGGCACCAGCGGCTGGCGCCATCTGCCCGCACACCGACACGCTGCTGGTGGTCGGTAGGTGGCGGGCAACTTTGCATTTGCAGAGATATGCCCAGCCGATGTGGGGTGGGGTGGGGGGTGGGGAGGAGGGGGGGCAGATGTTTGGACCTCGTGTTACGGGTTCGAGCAGTTGCGTTGCCTGGTAACCGTGTCAATACGATGTCTTACTTGGCAGCCGGTGACATTAGAACAGTCTTTAGTGCGTTTGAGGCATGTGTTGCCCTCAGCATGAGCCCACTTGCAGTTGTTATTTTGTACTGTCGTAAGGCTGTGAGATATTAAAGATGCGTTTGTCTTTTACATTTCGCCCCGTTGTGACAGTGGCAATGATTCTATTTGGGACATTACTCAAAAACTGTGCTCGCATGGGTCCGTCCTTTATTGCTGCATACCTGAGATCTATGTTTGTAATCAGCTACGGGTCGCTCATTATACACGTTTTTCCGAAACCCTGGTATCACAGATTGTTTTCATTTATAGGAAAAAGTGAAAATAATTGTAAAAGTAAAAGATGTATGGCGGGAAAGCCAGATGATTGCTGTGGTAGGTAATCACATTTGCGGAAGTGCAACATTTTTGCCCCACAAACGATCTGATCATCCAGGTTAAAATAGACAAAAATGAAAATTCGCAGGCAGATCTGGAGAGGGACTGGATAGATCCTATCGCGCAAGTGTCGTTTAGCAGCCGGTATTTGTGTATTGGTCCTCACCCCATCCCGCGTCATCCCGACGTCACAATAGCCACGCCCCTCGCCTGTCTGATTCGGATTAAGCGCCCCACCTGATCAGCGAGAGTTATGGGCGCCGTTGTGATCACGGTCCCCTCGCACCCGACCCTGTGCCGGCCCTCTGTCTCATTGCATAGCCCAGTTGGCGGTCTGTTAGTTCAATCGACGTCGATTGGCGCACAATGGAGCGGCCCGTGCCCGGCGCGCTTGGGTGCAGACCCGTGCACGGCGCCATCTTGGTGGCATGATGTGTGGACGCCTCGGCCCGGTCGGGTGTCTGGTCTCTTGTGGCGCTGTCTGGAAAGGCTGACTTGTGAGACGCAGCTGCCCATTGAGGGTGTTTTAAGACATTTGGCTGGATTTGTCCGTCACGGAATATGTCATTTTTACTTTTTTCCTTAAAATGGTATCCTATTTTTGTTTGCGTTGTTCTCGTTCAAACACTTGGCCTGCTGATTACCACACTGATTTGAAAGCTGTCGTGTCATTTCAGACAACATCTCTGGCTTCTCTGCCAGTTGCCATATCGCTGAACCCTCGTGGATTTAACAGTTTTCATAATCTGATTTTCTCGTTTTCACGTCGGCTCTGGGAATTTACACTTTCCAGTCGTTGACCGAAAACTAAAGATGTAGCTCTCCTGCAACTGTATAAGTTTCAGTATACTTTGATTTCAGCTGTGATATTCAAACAAGTACTACTAATCCAACACCAGCGGTTCTGCGATTGGAGATCAGCAGTGGCAGAACATTTTGGCTCATTAATCATGATTTATTGTTCGCACAGCGGGTAGTGAAGGAATAGGTAGCTGATATATCTAGGGGCATAAAACGGACATCCAGTAGAAAATCCAGCCAAAGTCACTCCCAATAAATTATTGCAGGTGTCGCATATCGATCAGTATTAATATTAACAAAAAGTGTGTGCAGCTTACCAAGCCAGATGGCATGATCTGTCCTGCGCGTAGGCCTGACGTAGTGAAAGCATATCCAAACCTACTTCATGGCGGCTAGTTTCCCAGCCTTTGCGGCCGTACCTCTCACCGCCCCCCTCCCCCCTTGTCGCAGGGAACGAGGGCCGAGGCGTGGAACCGTCACTGGCACGGCTCTGCCGTCCGCTGGCCGTGCCCGCCCGGCGACCGCTGGCAGATGGCATTGAGTCGCTCAACGTGGGCGTGGCCACGGGCATCCTGCTCAGTCAGCTGACGCGCGCCCCGCCCTGATCGGCCGGCGGCGCCAGCGTGCGAGCAGGACGGGGGCGTCGTGCGGACTGCGGCGTGCCCGCCCTGACCGGCCAGCCGCTGGCGCCAGCGAGACGGGTCGTGCGAACTCGGCGGGGGTCTGCGTGTTGTGATGGTGCGTATGGAAGACGTGTGATTCGTGATTGACTGAATATATGAGTTGCGCCCACTGCGCAGAATGCAACGCAGCCTAGGTAGCGCTTGTGTTTTGTTTTGTTTTCACGTGCGTGGTGACAAACAGTCGATCCGCAAGGACGAGAGGCGTTCACTGCAACCCTTTGTAACCCTGAGTCACGTGCGGCGGGCGTCACATGGGCTCCGATACTTTCTTCCACCGAGACATGGAAGCTCTGACCGAAATATCGTTATGGAAATGTGAACGGGCGGAAATAAGTTTGTGACGAGGTTATGAAATTTGTTGTAGCATTGCGCTAGCGTTTTCGGCGGGTAACGGCAGGAAGAAAGCATTCAGTTTTATTGCCACGAGACATTACCGGGTAGGCTCATGTTGTTTTTGGTGCCGGCACAGATGAGGGCACACTGGTGCATTGCAGTGGTAGCTGCTCTTTTGCCGACATTAAATAATAGGAAACGTTTGCCTACGCGTGTCCGAGCAGACGTTCCTGTCCGGCGGGCGCGGTATTCAGCTCATACAAACCTCGTAGCATGTATACGTTGTTTTAAGTAGTTGATAAAAGGCATGGTCTTACAAATTAACTGATGCCTTTCAAGCTGGGCCACCTCAAATATGTGGGGTAATTACTGGGATAAGCTGTTCTAAGCCCTGTGGCAATGCCTTTTCCTCTCGCAATCTTCTCGAATTTGAAGACTAAATCAGCTGAAACGCACGTAAGTGCCAACCGACGCGTGGAAAGCTCACTTAGAAGTCGCCCGAAATGGTGATCAATTAAAGAGTTGCATGGCCATCCCTTTCCCAGCTCCCGCCGGTCCTTCCCCTGATTCGAGGTCCGTGTAGGTGGTAGTGCTGGACTGGACTCGCATGGAGGGGTGGGGAGATAATTGGGGAGGGCTCATTCCCGACAAGATGTTGACAAGGTGGGCATTTACTTTATTACAACTTGCCTTCTGTCTTCACCTTGGCTCACTCGAAAATTGGGCGCTGTGCTGAGGTCGCCCTTAACGTGCTCGGACGTTTGCGTAGAATTGCCATGGCTCCCGGTCGAGTGGCATACGCCAATATCCACTTTGAGCAGGCGTTCATGATGATCAGAATCATCGCCCCATCGACCGGACCCGCATAGTCTATGTGCAGACGGTCCCACGGTGCCTCCGGGTACGGCCACGGGCTCTCCGCTACCGGGGAGGCCTGGGGCCGATTCAGCTGACAGGCATGACAGCTCCTCACGGTCGACTCGATGGCTGCGTCCATGCCGGGCCACCACACGTGCGCGCGTGCCTTTGACTTCATTGCCACGACGCCAGGGTGTCCCTGGTGCAGGAGCGAGAGCATCGCCTTCCGCAGAGCAGAGGGTACTACGATCGGTTTCCCCAGAGAGGGATGTCATTTTGAACGCTGAGTTGGAAACGGTGCTGGTAGAATGGCTCCATTCCATGAGCTGCCGGCACCGTCCAGCAGCCGCCCATGGCTGCTTGATAAGCACGTGACAAGACTGGGTCACGGCTCGTGCACCGGCGGATCTGATCGGCACGAATCAACTGATCCATTGACTCCAGAAGAAATACGATGTCTTCGGGATCCGGAACGCTGGCCGGGCAGACAGCCAGTGGCAGGCGGCTCAGTCCATCGCTGCTTACCTGCCGAGCTGAGGGGGCGCACACCAGCTTATACTGGTACGCCTACAGTGCGAGGCGCCATCTGGCTACTCTGGGCGACACCATGAGCGGTAGCGGCTTGTCACTGTCTGGGAGGCCCAGGAGAGGGTTATGGTCCGTTTGTATGATGAAGTGCCGGCGACACACGAACTGGTGAAACTTTTTTCACTCCGAAGACCACCACCAGCCCTTCTTTATCCAACTGGCTGTAGTTGACCTTCGCGGCCGCCAAGCTCCGCGATGCATACCCCACCGGGCGTTCCATTCGCGAACCGTCGATCACTGACAGTACAGCTCCGAACCCGTACGGGCTAGCGTCCACAGACAGTACGAGCGGTAGGTTCACATCGTGGTGTGCGAGGCACGACGCTTGTACCAACAGCTGTTTGGTGCGCGCGGATGCCGCTCTCTCCGCCTGTCCCCAGCTTCACCGCTGGCCTGCCTTCAGCAGCCGATAGAGCGGCGCCGCCACGGTGGCCAGGCTGTCCAAGAGCTTGTAGTAGTACATGAACAGTCTGAGATATGCTTTCAGCTGCTTGACGTCAGCAGGCTGTGACGCCTCCACGATTGCCCGCACTTTTGCGGCTGTGGGATGGATGCAGTTGCAGTCGACCCTGCAGGCTAAGTATTCTACTTCTTAAGTCATCCACTCACACTTGCTCGAGTTCAGCCGCAGACCAGCATCTAAGAGACGTTTCAGCACCGTTTCGACATTGTCGCGGTGCTCTTCATCGTTCCGGCCCGTGATGCACACGTCATCCAGGAAGACGGCAAAGTGTGACAGGCCGTCCAGCAGCTGCTCCATCATGCGCTAGAACGCCGTCGGAGCTGACGAAATGCCGTATACGAGCCGAGTGGCGGCCATGAGGCCCCGATGGGTGTTAATATGTCTCTTTGAGGTCCAGTCTGGCAAACTTCTCGCCAGTTGATCTATCCGTGGATGATCAATGAAACAATTCGCTCGGCGCACCAGCCGCGTGCGGCTCTGTATCCCAGACTCCCGAACAACCCACAGATCCGAGCTGAGTACCCGACCCCGGTCGTAATTAAGCACTCCGCCGCGTAAGTGGCGACACCTCTTGGTTGCAACTGCTAACAGTCTACCTATATACATATCCCTTTCTATGCGGCATGATTAAAAGAAAAGAAAAAGGGATGAAAAAGCCATGCCTTGAATTGTTTGTCACTGGAAAGCTGTATGCCGCTCGCAACAAGTGTCAGCACATCATTATAGATTTAGAGCCAGGTGTCCAACCGTATTTTGCAACTAGAAGCCATTCTTCAGCAAAGGCTCCTGTGCTGCTGACGCTGCAACCATCATCTTAAAAAGATCCGCGAAGTGAAAGGCTGAAAATGTATGTCATCGGTTGCCAGCGTCAAGCAGTTGCTTTTATCTCATTTTTGTATACTTTTAATCTGTCGTATTCACGTGCGATCCAGACTGATAAGGAATAAACAATGAAAAAATTGTGTGCTTTTCGGCAGGAGGGCCGTCAATCAACTCAAGGATGGTACACTGGAAGGCATTCGTCAGTTAATCCCGTCACTCCGTGGTGCATAGGCCAGCCGCACACATGCAACATGTAGACGTTTTGTCCCGCTTGCACGAAGTCGGTGACCTGGCAACACGTACCGCTTCCAGACCGGGCGGTGCCGGGTACCCCGGCCGATGCCGGCGCCCCTGGCGGAACATTCCAGAAATGTGTGGAGCCGGCAGAATCCCGCACGCCGGGGTCGGTGGATTGCTGGAAGCGGCTACAGTGCAGATGCGGACGCTCGGAGCGCTCAGCCAGAAAGTGACAACGGGTGTAGATACCACAGGCAACAACAGTCTGTGTTAACTGGCACAGGTGATTGGACAGGCGTACCACTTGCACAGCCAGAGGACAGCGTTCATGGCACAAAGTCAGAGGCGCTCAGGAGGTTAATTTGACAGGTGCAAATTTTCTCGTGCGGCTTTCGCTCAAGCCGGATTTTCTTGTGTAGCACCAGAAGTATGAGGGTAATCGTAGAATGATCGCCCACTATATTAGCCGTCTGAGATGCCCAGGACTTCGCTTCTCCATATCTGAAACAAGAGCAGCCCAATCGGTTTTGCCTTAGGTACGGGATTATGCTCCGAAGGGCTGCGCCGACTGGTAATGATTTGATCGTGTGGCCCGCTGATAAGTGTTTTGAGCTCCTCTTCAGCCACCATGATGCATCCCATTACGCTCAAGAGGCGGGGTTAGTCTGCATGAGCAGTTGAGCAGATATGTTTGGTCAGCAGGGCTGAGGAGAGACTATGATGACTATATTCGGAGCTGCAAACGGCGCAGTCAAAAACATGCTGCGGAATTAATCACTACGTCCCCAGGAGACCAGCTATCCGATCGAGGCCCTCGTCAAAGACGTTCTTACCTCGCCTCGGAGTTCGATGTCAGGGCGATGTTTCCTGCTGACCCGTGTGGATAAATCTGCCGGTTTCTTGGCATGATGTCTGCTTGACTCTGGATCGTCGGACGGCGTCAGAGAAAAGCTAAAGCATCATTTTTTGGCGTTTGGGCAGCTCGAATCGTGGAGAGTGACGCGGGGTGAAATCTGCTAAAAGCTCGGGCGTTCAGGTACTGTGTGAGTGTTTTAGTGTTCAGTGTTGGCTATCACGGTTCAATGTTGGCTATCGCCACGCGGCCGTGACAAAAAAGTTGAGAGGAAACACCTAGATGTAAAACGACCGCTGAGTGTCGAGCCAAGCCTATTGCATTTCACTGGGAATAACGTCTTCCGGGCATTATTTTTTCCCTGCATAATAAAGTGTCCAGTGCCCATGGCTACACTTGACTGTTTATTTATTTTCTTCGCCATCCAAGCAGTTCTATATCTCACCTAGCTGGAAGCCGAGTGGGTTTGTACAAAGACGACGTCGTCCACGAAAAACTTCGAGTTCTCTCGGTAACTTTCCAGAGGGCTCAAAGGGAGCAGGCTGAGATCACGAGAAAACACAAAGCGCACTACAACAAGCGACATAGCGCTAGAGAACAACTGGGATCAGGTGATTGAATCTAGTACCATAACGTTCGATTTGAGAACAAAACAGGCAATCCGTGGGTTCGGCCATTTGTTCTTCGTGTCACGTGGGCCACTGACAGCTCGATTTTTTATAAAAAAGGTGTTGTTCGTCTTACACACGCGAATAATGCAAAATATGTCATTGACTGATGTGTGTAGTGTCTGTACTGAGCCCATATGCTACTCACGGGCTGTCGAGCGACGTGTGCACGATGATGGTAGACATGCTGGTGAGCGGTGAGTTCATATTTGATTTGCTTTGTTTCGAGAACCGAGTTTGAGTTTCGTGAGAGGATACGTACTTTACCATAGCATAAATCTTACCGTATACTTTGCTCACGTTGTCGAACGATGTGTGTACAGTGATAGTGGACATACTAGTAAGTGGTAAATGTATATTTTCTTTGCTTTGTTACGAGGACCGAATTAGAGTTTTGTGAGAGGGGAAAATGTCCCGCCCTGCATCGTCCTGGATCCGCCTCTGCCCAGTGTGACGCAGGAATGGCTTGAGACGCTTGGGGCCGCCGATGTCAGCGGGAATGAGCACGAGGCGGGCAATTGAATACAGACCTCGTTCGAGTTACGTGGGTTGCCCGGGTGAATGTGGGCTTCGTGAGCCGATGGCCGGGCCGGGCCGTTACACACTCACTTAAGATTGAATTGCTGGTGAAATTCAAGTCGGTGAATATGTCTTATTGTGGTCAATAATAAACTCGTTCTTTTTCTTTCCATCTGAAGATAGCCCGCTTAAACAAATGTCTGACCAGTGTCAAGGCAGCCACGCTGCTGAATCTCGGGATTGCGGACTGCTTGATTCCATAACAGCACGTTTCAAACAACCTACCAGCCATGTCAGACGACAATTGATAGGCCGAGTCAGGAGAAAATGCAGAACCGCTCTCATAGACTGCTGCTATCGGCCACTGCAAACACCAGGTGCGGGATAAGCGAGGACGAAGATAGAGGCTTGCAGAAGTCCACGCTTTGACCATGACCACGCTTTGCCTACCAACACCGAGCTGTAGCTTGAGTAGCATGTATGAGATATAGTAAAGTGGAGATCACCAAGGAATGGTTGTGAATGGACAGGACGCCTTAGCAAACCTGTCGCTGGTCTGACGAGTCCAGCAGTTGCAATCGCTCGTACCCCGGCGTTAGTGCTTTCCGAGTCTGGACGCTGCGATAACGAATGTTCCCTCAGCGTGGGAATGCCGCGCGACCTGGGGTACGTCCTTCTAGCGCCGAGCTCTCTGATGTGGCGGGTTGGAACATGACGCGAAACTGCCAGTCATAATTTATTTTTGCAGACAACAAGTCGTTAGGACAAGAAGCGGGTCTTTCTCTGTCAGTCGCTGACGGAACCTTTCATTGCCATCCTGGGTTACCTCCTGGCTGCCATTCTGGCGACAAGGGAGCCGGGCCCCGCGGTCGATCCGGAGGTCCTCAGAGCGATGCCCTTTCCCTGACGTGGCGCCCTCTGACCGCACCCCGCATCGATCGCGGACCCTCATTGACGCAGAAGGATACCTGACGGGCGCCGGGAGTATAAAAGTATAGCAGAGGGACTCCGGTTCAGCTCGTCAACCCATGATGGGGTCGTCAGTTATTGCATTCATGCTGGGGTTTGCACCACGGGCCCGTTGGTCCCAGTGGTCACAGCTTGCCGTGGTCGCCGTAATTGAAACCGGCAACTGCACCCAGGTTGCGGTCACAACGTGCTAACCCTGGTTGTTCGCAGGACACGAAATACAAGAAAAAGAAAAACACGAAACGTCCATGTGCGCACGAAAACACAGCGCTAGAGGTAAAGAAGAACCCGTACGCCGTTTGAACGACAGTAAACACATGTCGCAAGAACATATGCATTTACCTGCCAACATTCAACTGACTTCTCGCTTATCTCAACTCCGAATGTGCCGACTTTGGAGTGCATTCGCATTGCCGTTAGTCGCGCTCCAGAGGTACATGGCGTAGTCGCTGTTTGGTCGAAGGGAAATACCACACGTACGCGCATCAAGAAACGCGGTCTTCATCTTGCTCGAGAAAGCCAGGAGTACACGTGACCGCAGAAAGTGGCCCTCTAGTCCAAAGAGGTGGCGGAAACATGGAGCACGTGACGACGTGCGAAAGCCTGAGGGGACGCAGCGTGGTTGCGGATCACACAATGTGGAAGTGTCTGCTCAGTACCGTGACGGACGCGGTACACCGGCAGCGGGCATGGTACTCCGTCAGCGGGCATGGTACTCCGTCAGCGGGCATGGTACTCCGTCAGCAGGCACGGTACTCCGGCAGCGGGCACGGTACTCCGGCAGCCGGTGAACCCGTCAGACCCGTGGATCATGCGGCGGTGTGCTGCCCTGGCCTGGGTGCCTATCAGACCCGTGGACATGTGAGGTGCCCTCCTGGCCCGCGTGCCTGTCGTACCCGTGGGTCACGTGCCGTTGTGCTCCCCTGGTCCGGGTGCCTGTCAGACCCGTGGATCACGTGGCGGTTTGCTCCCCCGGTCCGGGTGCCTGTCAGACCCGTGGACATGTGATGTGCTCCCCTGGCCCGGTTGCCTGTCGTACCCGTGGATCACGTGACGGTGTGCTCCCCTGCCCTGGGTGCCTGTCGCTGCGCCGGACTGCCAATTGCCGCTGATTGGCACAACCGGCTCAATAGAATAATTGTCGGCGGGCGGACGGGCCGGCGGGCTCCTCGCCCGACAGTCGTGAGCACAGTGACCGGAGGGTGCGGACGGCGCCGGCACCGCACAGATACGGCTCCGTCTCGACCCGCCGCTGCTGGCTCGTGCGTCGGACGAGCTCGCGCCGCCGCGGGGCATCCTGCGGGGTCAGTCCGCGCCGCTGCCGAGTCCGGCTCCGTTTCTAAGTACTGGTGCCGCAGGTGGTCGCTTGAAGCCCCTGCGACTCGAGTTCTTAACAACGGTCGGGACGGACGTCGAGCGGGTGGGAGCGGCGTGGCGAGGCACAGACGTATGACCCGATCGTCTGGGGTAAGGAAGGGGAGAGAAAAGCCGGCGGGTCGTATTACAATGCCCTCGTAAGATCCACGTTGCTTCACGAAATGGTTATCTGGTTATCTCGAAATGGGATCTGGTTATCTGCCGTGATGGCGCATTTGAACGCAGCGTGTGAAATGCGATTCGAGGCAAGGCTGTGACGGTACGTTTTGGCTTCACCCGAACCGGCTTCACTTGTTCACGAATACCCCGCGATAGATGGTGATCTATCGCGGGGTATTCGTCGACAGAGTCGCGCATCGTCCACATGTGCGGGTGCAGTCGCGCATCGTCCACGTGTGCGTATCGGCCGGTTGGGTCAGTCAGCAATGATGGTGGTGTTCGCCCAGGCCGGGTACGTGTGCACGTCGAAGACGGCCACACCCAGCGTATGAATCAGCAGCATGACGACCCCGATGCATATGCAGTTCATGAATGCTCCTGCCTTCAGCTGAAACGCACGGACAGGTACAGGTCACGTTTGCAACTTCTAGAGTTTGGTTCCGCTCTGACAAACGTATGCTCCTCTACATACGTCCGCTCGCACTGTGTTATTACTTTACTACTTTCAAATGAACCAAGAAAACCATAGTGGCCGCACGATCACAAAATCAAGCAAATTAAATCAAAGTCGCACAATGACGTAACTTAGCCCAGCCACTGTCAAATAAACGTTTAATAACCACTGTAACTCAATGCACACTCCTGCGACACACCGGGAGACCATGGCAGCAGGCTCGGTCAAAGCCGAGGGTGGATCCAATGGGGTGGGGGGGGGAGGGGGCGCATCTGGTCGATTTCCCAATATGGTGCAAGTTACGCCAAAAAACAAAATTAAGCATGTTAATGAGCTTTTGAAGGAAGAAAATTGTACTGGTAGGAATTTGTTAAGAACACTTAATGCAGTAAAAGGACGGGAAATCTAAAAAAAAATCTTCAAATTCTGAGGACCAAACCGAGCTTATTGCCTTCCCCGAGGCGGCGTTTTGGACTCGCCCTTGTCCTAAACAACCCCGAGGCGTTCACGTGATGCGTGACGGCGCGCACGCCGCCGCGCAGGTGCGGTCGGGGTAACGTACCATATCCTGCGATCTGAGGTTACCAACGCCGTACACGATGGCGTTTGGCGGCGTAGCTACCGGCAGCATGAAGGCGAAGGAGCAGCACAGCGTGGTGGGTAGCATCAGGTACAGCGGGTTGATCTTCAGTGAGTTCGACTGGAAGGCAGAGCGTTGATGATCAGCTCCGTATGCTTGTAACCTGCTCCGTTGTAGGGCAGCGGCCAGTAACCACTCATCGATTTCATAAAGTAAATCAAGGAAAATCGGCGCCTATTACTGCAAAGTGTGGCCGTTAAGACCATAACTTTAGTTGTAACTACTCTCACGATTGTTCTCTCACCCAACAATCGTAAACATGATGATAACCGGCCTTTTTCATTTCTTTATGTTTTTGCGGTGTTGTTAAAATGCACCTAACTAGGATGGAATTCGCAGCTTTGCGATGTAAACTTCACTGCCGAAAGTCTCTTGGTGAAAGAATGTCTCATGGCATTGACGCGATTCCTGTTAATACAACCGTCCACTTTCAGAGCGTGTTTGCTGATTCCTTCAGCGGAAGCAGGAGCGGCTCACATGTCTCCTCCGTTAGCAATCAAGCATAAAGCCGGCGTCAGCGGTGTTCTGACCTCTTCCCAGGCCCCTATGCCTCCAGTACAGCTCCTCGGATGCTCCCTGTTGGGAACCTCCGCCCCTCCCCTCCCCTCCCCTCCCTCTCTCCCCCCCCCCCCCCCCCCCCCTCCCCCAGCAACCCGCGGCTGTGAGCCGCCAACAGGTCAGGCCTCGGGCGCTCTGTCCCTCACTTACGAGCTGCGCCATGACCGGCAGCAGGATGCTGGCGATGGCCGTGTTGCTGGAAATCTCTGTCACCAGCGTAGTGAAGGCACAGACCAGGAAAACGATGAGGCCGTGTGGCAGCGTGTTCAGCACCACCAGCTGGTCGGCTAGCCAGGCTGACAGACCCGACAGGTTAGCCGCCTCGGCTATGGCGAGCCCACCGCCTGCACGGCCACCGAGCAGGCATGGTCAGCTCGCGCTCTGTACGGCCACCGGGCAGGCATGGTCAGCTCGCGCTCTGTACGGCCACCGGGCAGGCGTGGTCAGCTCGCGCTCTGTACGGCCACCGGGCAGGCGTGATCAGCTCGCGCTCTGTACGGCCACCGGGCAGGCCACCGGGCAGGCGTGGTCAGTTCGTGCTCTGTCGGTGCCAATGACGCGGGGAAGCATCCACCAAACAAAGTGTGGAGGAGGCGAAGCCCTTTGAAGTCTATTTACTTCATGCGTCACTATGGCGTTGACCTCAAAATGTAGCGGGGTATCGCTGGTCTGGACACAGCTGGACGGCGCTTAACGCCCGGTCCGTTCCTGCAAGCACAAGCTTGCAGGAACAGGCTGATACAACGCGATGGAACGGACTGTCCGCATCGCTGGCACGCAACATTTGCAACTGGAGTCTATCGTTATTTGCTGTACAGACGTGGTAAGCGTGAGCACGCGAGACATCTGAGCTCATTTCAACTGTGTGCGCTACGCAGATTGAGCAAAACTTATCATGAATGCTTCGCGTCGAAGCATAATCACCATTCATGAGTATAACTATGATAATAAGGCTTCACGCATCGGACTCTAAAGCCATGCACATTGGATGTGCGCATGCGATGATAAACGCGCGCAACATAATCAGCGCAGTTTTCCCCGACTTACACACTCATCACACGGCAAGCGAGTGGTTAGCTCACCAAGCAACAGGACGATACCCCAGGGCAGACCCTTGTGGACGTCCGCCCACGCCAGGAGACCGTCGCTCAGCTCTGACCGGCCTCCCTCCTCTGGAGATGGAACGGTTGCGCTGACAATCACCCAGCTGGTGTGCTCAGCCAGGCGCTTCCACCTAACGTTCGCATCCTTCCGTCAGGTCGCGCGACAGCCAGGCAAATGTGGGAGCACTGTTGGTGTCGATGACCCCGCGCTAAGCCCGTCTGTCAAATGGGTAGAATGTCATGTGTGTATCAGCCCGCCTGTCGGATGGGTGGCTTGTCATGTGTGTATCAGCCCGCCTGTCGGATGGGTAGAATGTCATGTGTGTATCAGCCCGCCTGTCGGATGGGTAGCTTATCATGTGTGTATCAGCCCGCCTGTCGAATGGGTAGCTTATCATGTGTGTATCAGCCCGCCTGTCGGATGGGTAGCTTATCATGTGTGTATCAGCCCGCCTGTCGAATGGGTAGCTTATCATGTGTGTATCAGCCTGCCTGTCGGATGGGTAGCTTATCATGTGTGTATCAGCCTGCCTGCCGGATGGGTAGCTTATCATGTGTGTATCAGCCTGCCCGTCGAATGGGTAGCTTATCATGTGTGTATCGCCTGCCTGTCGAATGGGTAGCTTATCATGTGTGTATCAGCCCGCCTGTCGGATGGGTAGCTAATCATGTGTGTATCAGCCTGCCGGCCGGATGGGTAGCTTATCATGTGTGTATCAGCCGGCCCGTCGGATGGGTAGCTTATCATGTGTGTATCAGTCTGCCTGTCGGATGGGTAGCTCGTTATGTGCGTATCAACTGGTAAGATCCGACGACTCCCGCAAGAATGTCAAGATGTTCACACATTAATATCGCCTGGAAAAGGGACTACAACTCGGCTGCTACCAAAGAAACGCGATGCACAAAACGGACCCAAGCTTCCAAGAAACAACATAAAAACCGATACACAATACATAGCCGACAACATCCGTTACATTAGCGATTTACTGTGAATTGTCTGTGACTTTCCTCGCATTTTAGATCAGTTTATACCTTGATAATAATTGAAAGATGCGACCTCTTACCTTTCATGCACCAGAACCTGGGTTTGGCGGGTATCATGAACATGAGAGCAACAATGAGCATGCCTGCAGTGCCGTCATCTATGTCCCTGGAAGGTACATAGAGTTAGGGATGACACAGCAGGGAGGTGGGGAGGAAAGGGGGCAACTGGGGCAGATGGTGGGGTGAGGGGTGGGGGGCAGTTGCCCCCTGTCTACTGGCAAGGGGTAATAATATGTGTTTGTTTGAGATCAGGAGGCCACATTTTGTGTTACTGAGGCCCTTTTGCTGGGTACAGGGGACCCATTATAAACTAGGATGTTGCTTTTCTGGGACAAGATGGCTGTCCGTCTTGTTCCTTCCTTTCCTTTTTGTTTCTTTTTTTCTTTCTTTCTTTCTTTTACGTATGAGATGGCCTCAGTCCCGGATCAGCATATCCTGTCTTGGAATAATGACGACTTTTGCTGGATTTTTAGGCTCCCTTTGTGAATCGGAACGATCCTGTTCTGGATCAGGAGGCCCTGTATGCACCAGGAGAACCTTTTCTGCTACGAAGGACCTTTTTCTGGGACAAAAGGCTCTGCTTTTGGATAGGGCGGCCGTACGCTGGATAAAAAAGGCTCTGTGTTATTCAAAAGGCCCCTATTCTTGATCTGTTTCACGCTTGACACATGTTATAAGTTCATAAGTGATCACATGACCCCCGTATACCCCGTCCCTTGAATATAACACTGCCGAGGGATCCCACCCTGTGAAGAGGCCCCATTTTGTCCAGTAGACCCCCTGGAACATCCTGCCCTCTCCCCATCTCCAAATCCGCGGGACCTCCTCTGCATGCAACTACGCACTGTGTCAGGCACCCATGTCATAACATTGGTTTTCAGGACACACTCGTTGAACGGTTTTGTTGGCACAGCCACGTTGAAGATATCTACATTATCGTTTATAGCAACGGCTGGTGATCTTTGCACAATACTTCGAAAACGCCAGCAATTGTCGTCTTTCTACGTGACTGCTTTCATGCCAGGCTGCTTTCTGCCTCAAAATGTTCGTAAAGCAGAAGGCCGACCGTGTTTGATTGGCCGTGCCTGGCACCATGTTAAGTCTCCAAATTTCGTATCCATCTCCGAATTTCGTGAAATAACTGCGTCAGGTCAAGCTTCGTAACATAGTGCCATATGGTCGACATGATGTGGCATGAAAAATAAAGTTGCTGTGGGAGTTGTAATGAGACCAGAAGCCTCCTTACGTTTTGAAGAGCCCGTTCCAGCCGGGCATGAACTGGGGATCCCTGAAGAACCAGAGTAGCACGAGCAGCACGAGAAGGGCGAGCACGGCACTCTCGTGGAACTGCATCGGCCCCAGCGCCCGGTACCTCCGTTCCAGGCTGCGCCGCACCGCCGATATCCGGCCGGGGTCGGTCGGCTCGCCTCTGGAAAACCACCGCTGGTCAGGGTTATCCCTGGAGACACGTCTCGCCGACCCACCCCTGGCGACTCCTCGGATGCCCCTGAAGGCTCGTCAGACTGCCCCTGGCGGCTCGTCAGACTGCCCCTGGCGGCTCGTCAGACTGCCCCTGACGACTCGTCAGACTGCCCCTGACGACTCGTCAGACTGCTCCTGACAGCTCGTCAGACTGCCCCTGGCGGCTCGTCGGACTGCCCCTGGCAGTTTGCTAGACTATCGCCGAGATCATGGCCCCTTGGATGAAACTAAGTCTCATCTGAAGCTTGTCAGGATGGCCTTGAAACCATGGGGTACGGGCTTCCATTCAGGTGATCGCAATCAGTTTCAGGAGCTCGAGCTTCCCGGTATACAGGCTGGCCCCCTTAATTTGAATGATCGCCATTACCCAATCATTGTAACCAAAACGAACGAATCAGGAAATAATGATCTTATTTTTCAAAACGGTCAATTAGCGTGATACGAATTTGCAAACATGCCATTTGAGGAAGGCGAACCTGGCTGGTCCACCAGGTCACAGAGGCTCCCTGCCTCCACTCACCATCGGCCTTACCCATCCCCTTTCTGATCTGATAGACTGCATACACCCCTCACAGCCTTAAGTCAGGGTATAGTATAGCCATAGACATAGTCAGGGTATAGTATAGCCATAGCCTTAAGTCAGGGTATAGTATAGCCATAGCCATAGTCAGGGCATCCCCCAGGATTATCGCACGCAGGGACATCTCTGAAACCACGGCTCGTTAGGATCAGTCCTGATACCAGAGCTCGCTCGCGCAGCAATAACCATAAACAAAAGCTCCCTGCAAGTGGCTTATCAGTCAATAATCGATTGCCATTTTAATCCGAGTTCTTTTATATGGAATTTGCCATGCTACAAAACCTTATTGTAGTGGTCCTGCAGTAATGATAAGATACCAGCAATGACCGTCAAATTACTTCCCTAACCATTGCAATAGCTCTTGTCGCCGAGCTCCACAGCACCTTGTTACTGCGCAACAAAGCGTCAAAGCCTAAACTATCTGCATGGAAGTGCAAGTATGTAGCTCATAATGTGCTATACTTACACGAGATATTTAGGCCCTAGGAAGAGAACAACAAGTAGCATCCATCCCAGGATAGTACACAGAAGCATGGCGGGTACGCCAAACAGCATGAAGGTGGCAAAACTCAGACCCGTGTCGCTGCCGTAGCTCCTGAAACAGACAGCGTGTGGCATCGTTCAAACCTTGTTCAGACAGTTTTCAAAAAACGAACATACTTATGCGCGGCATAAGTACGTTCCGGTGAACGTCAAGTTACAGGTGCAGGACGCCGGGAGAAGTTGGCATGGCAACTCTGCAGAGGCGATCATTGTTCAATGGACGAAATTTAAAATCAGGTGGAATTAAATCCTTCATTCTTGGTGTTAGTGTGGTCGCTATTCCACCCATCACAATGCATCACCCGCCTATGCATGCAGCGGGCACCAATGCCTGTTCTGAGAGGTTCCAGGAGAAAATATCGAATAGCGTTTGACTGAATATTATTTCACCGAATGTGAAGACCCTAATGCTTTCTGGCGTCGTGTCTTCTTGCCGCAATGTTAAAAAATGTACTTTAGTCAAACGGCTGAAAGGCGAAAACCATACTGACATGTTTTAAGCATGGCACAATATGTCATGCCTTTTTGATGGCGTGCAAATTCAAAATAGAAATAGCTCTAAGTGCTAATTAACCCAAACCGATCAGCTGAAGTGCTAATTAGCCGAATGCCAACGTGCCGAAACAGGAATTTGACGAGTAGCGATTAGATGAATGGGAAATCGGCGAATGGCCCAAAAGTCCAATACCTTATTGCCAAAATATGAACTGGAACGGAATTTGACGATCGCAAGGTCGTCAAACGGTCCGTTAGCCGAATTCATTTTGTCGACATATGCATTGTCAACTTGGCGATGTTCTGAAGTGACATCGCCCGGAAATTATAAAGACGGTTGTGAAATACGCAAAGTATTAGTGTGAAAGGTGATGGTAGCGCGCAACCAGTAATGTTGAGTAAATGAAGTAATTCCGTTTGGTTTGGCTTGTTTACTTCTTAATATGGCTGAGCGGCTAACAGAATCATAGCCTTCAAACCTTTGACCTGACACGACACATTGCAGGTCAGATCTAGCGATGCCATCAACACCAATCTGATCGAGGTTTTTCGGAGCTATTGAACGCCGTTTTGCTCATTATCGCAACAGCTCAGTTCATGCAGTACATCCGCCATTTTCGGTCACATATACATGATACAGCGCAACATGAGAGCTTTTCAATGTCATCTTTCCCGTGGCCCTAGCTTGTTGTCTGTTTTCGTGATATGAAGCGTCTGGGGAGGAGCTGCTGGAGTGACGTCCCGTAGCACGACGGTGAAAAAACCCCTATTAAGCAAAAATTAAAGGACATCTGTCTATATCACTAAAAGCACTTCGACGAATGAACGTTCGGCCAAAGAACACTCAGCTATCTGGCAAGAAGACGTTCGGCTAAATGCCATTCGGTTATCTCTCCATGATACCATCCTAAGAGCAGACCGTTGGGACCATGACATCGAGTATTTCCATTTTAGAGAGATACTAAAATGCTGATATTTCAGGAGAGGATACGGACATGCTCGAGATCCATCCTTCCGTGCCATAGTTGAAAAACGTCACTCGGCGCGGCATAGTCCAGTTACTGGACTTACACAAGCAAGGGTGTATGGGGGGGGGGGGGGGGGCTCCAGCCCCATAACTTTGAGAGGAAACTGCGCTGAACCTGAGCGAGAAGGACGTTTTTTTGGCTAAGTTGAGTGTAAATTCAACATTTCTCTGGCTCATCCCGCCAACTTATTTTACGAAGCTACACCCCTACAAACCAATGTGGAACGTACGAAACGTAAAGGTCATGACCCACATGTCAATAAAGCTGAAAGTTTTCAATTCTTTGCTGCTGCCACGCCCAAAATTTCTTCCCCCTCGGCTCACTATATAAAGCACACCAGTCGACACTCCTCAGCTTCTTTGAACGGTTCGAACCAGCCAGGGTGTGTTGGTAACCCATTGGTTGGCAAAAGTAAAAGACTGTGATTTCTGGCTGATAAACGGCAAAAGTTTTATAATTCTGATTGCAATAGCAAGCATACCATTCGATGCGGTGTAGTCTATTTACAAGGGGCTGTCTAGTATGAACTATGGCTGCCATGAGCGTTCAAACCCTTTGGTCAGCAAAGCTAAAACACATTCATTGTTGACTATTGGTACGCTGAAATAGAACACATTTACCTATTTGGATGGCGACAATAAACCACGCTAATCGATACGCCGTAGTAGATACACTTAAGGTAAATATTATGGGACGGCTGGGTCATTTTTTCTCTGGTGGCTCACATTCAAGACCTGGTGCAGCGTGACTTGCTGGGAAAGCAGCGTTTTGCCGACGAGAGCGGGGACTGGTGAGCATTTTCTCCCACTGAATACGTTAGAGTATGTCCTGATACACAGCATCGTACACGGGCTGTCACACGAGCTGCCACTCATCCGGTGCTATGTCCGCATACGCAGCACTGTAAACTCTGGCTGTTACATGAGCTGTCACTCATCCGATACTTCGACATATAGATTACAAGAGCTGATTAGTTTGATGTTTTGAAATATTTGGGGTCGGTGCAAAATGACAAAGGTTAAGCTCATCTAAGGTAACACTTATTGTGTACCGCGATTTCACGTAGCTCATTTGTTGGAATTAATATAGCTTCGTGTGCCCCAGAACGACTGATTACCTGAACTGACCACTGCATGGTTGCCTGTAGGACAGACGACATTTATTGTCGCCCGACTTTTATCCTGCCATTGACTTTACAAGCGTACCATGCCAAGACCGCTTGCAGCTTGGATCTCATTCACTCCGGTAGAGCACACGTGATCATTCGCGAGCTTCCAGTTTCGCTCCCATCCAAAACAGAAAACTTTAAACAGGGCTTCGATCACCCATCTCACGGCAAATGTCCCGGGAAATTATAACAGCACGCAGACAATACCTTATTATCCAGGCCGATAATAAAATGATGGTGAAGACCATAGAGCGTTTGAAATCGGTTTTGCCTGCCGCTTCAATCCGTGTGGGAGCCTGCCACGTCAGTGACCCTGCGGCTACCGCACCTGGTGTCCGCTAGCCTTGCGTCCGGTACTGGCTGCCACGTCAGCCGGTGACCTTGTGGCTACTGCGTCCGGTGTCCGCTAACCGTGCGTGCAATACTGGCTGCCGGGCCGGTGACCCTGCAGCAGCCCCGCCTGGTGTCCGCTAACCTTGCGTCCGGTACTGGCTGCCGGTCGGCGACCCTGCGGCTATTGCACTTGGTGTCCACTAACCTTGCGTGTGGTACCCGCTACCGGGCCGGCGACCCTGCGGTTACCGCACCCGGTATCCGCTAACCGTGCGTGCAATACTGGCTGCCGGGCCGGCGACCCTGCAGCTGCCGCGCCTGGCGTCCGCTAACCTCGCGCCCGGTACTGGCTGCCGGGCCGGCGACCCTGCAGCGGCCCCGCCTGGTGTCCGCTAACCGTGTGTCCGGCGCCGGCTGCCGGGTGTACGCACTGTTCGACGATGCCGCGCAGCACCAGGTTGGGCGCGGTGCCGGTCAGTGTGCCGGTGCCGCCGCAGTTGGCCGCGTACGCCACGCACAGGAACAGTGGTGCCCGCAGCTGCTCTGGCCTCAGGTCCACCGGTTTCGACCTGAGAGAGGAGGCGCAATGGTCTGAGGGCGGCGGCAGGTGGAGTCGGGCGGCGGGGGCCAGGCTCAAATGAAACAACACAAAACTCTTAACGTCCATGGCCACGAAAACACCAGACAGCTTGACAGACCAGACAGGTGGCAGCTTCGACGCTTTTGTAAAACTTAACATTCTGAAATTACGCGAATGCTTAGGTGTGTTCGTTATAGTTACTGAACGTGTAGTTCCGACGTGCTGGTGACGATTTCCGTAGAGGCTGCAGCTTCTTGGTCCTCTTTGGTGGACCTTTCCGAGTCCTTTCTTTCAGGCTGAGGCGAGTCATCCAGATCCTGTATTTGGCAGACAGGCCGCAGTAGTGAGCATAGGACGCAGTAGCCGAGAAAGCCACGTAGACCACGGTGTGGCTGGTACGTTAATGTTTTCATTTCAGTCGAACAAGCATAATGTTTCCAGAGTTTCTGTGGTCTAGGCCGCAATTTTCGGAAACATAGAAGTGAACAGAAGGGTGACATTTTAAATGGAAGGTCATGTATGCAGAGGCGTATGCACGATATTGCAATGGGGGGAAAACCACAACTTGGAAATTGTCACTAAAAATCCAGCTTATCGCGAGCTTCTCGCATGACATCAAGCGACATCAGCTGTTCTCGATCTGTTTGTTGTAACTAGTCTACATCGAATTTGCAATTGTCAGCACTCGTTTGTTCTGAATAAAATATGTGCCACATTACATAAGGGGGTTTACGCGCCCACTAGACTCGGTACGAGCAGACCACTGTGTGCATACATGTCGACAGGTTGTGTTCATACTCGTATCTTCGTATTAACATCGTTGCATGCCATAGTCGTCTCCGTTTTCACACGAGCTAAACACATGCCTTATTTGATATTAAAAACAGGTAGCACAACGTTGTGCTAATTTCCGGCCAACCATTCGCACATGCCGCGGCAATGCGTGACTGGTTTCAAAACATTTTCTGCGCTATGATTGACCAATTTCAGATAATCTGGCGACACAAAAGAACTGATTGCATGTCGTCCAGAGGCTGACAGCGACAAGCCGGAGAGCCTCTGGCGAAGACCAGTCGGAGAACATGACGTCACAGTCAGCGCGACTATTACGACAGCTGACGACAGCCGGTCAGACTAAAGTAGAGGTATAGTTCAGACTAAGTTTTGTGAGAAGTGAGCTGGCGCAAAGGCTTTTCAACTGACCTGAGAAAGGTTAGTGACCACGGCTTCGATCATGGGTGCCACCATGGCCGTGGCCGCCGTGTTCGAAATCCACATGGAGAGAAACATGGTGATGAACATGAAGCCCAACATCAGCCTGCAACAACATGGAGATGGCAGTTGAAGTATGGTGTTCATCCAGCTGGACACAGTTCGGGTCGGGCTTCCAATATATTTGATTTCTTAACATTGCCGGAAAGAGTCTTCCCATAAACAAACCCAATCCTTGTTGGATATCTCCGCTTAGCCTCTACTCCCGGGTATAAAAGAGGCCGACTGCTTTCAGCATAAGAACTCATGATGTCGGTTTTAACGAGTCATCCGAAGACGCACAGTAAACAGCAGTGTTCCATAGAGAGAGTACTTGTCTCTCGCAGCTAGAAGATCCATGAATAGCCAGAGTCGCTCACCACTTGACGCTGGTGCCCATAAAGAGGACGACCCGGAGAGCAGCGCGTGTGTGGAAGTTGCTCTTCTCCACGGCTACGGCCACCATCAGGCCGGAGAGGAAGAGTAGGTTGGTGCTCGACATGTACTGCATGCTCACCGCCCCCGTGTCCAGCACGCCGAAGAAGGGGAACAGCACTGTCGGCAGCAGCGCCGTCGCCGCCATCGGCATCGCCTCCGTCATCCAGTAGAACGCGATGATGAGGATGCCGTAGCCGCACCACGCCGCCTGAAGTCAGTGAAGTCCGGAGACCCGAGAGCCTCGAAAGATCTGGGGTTACCCGTCCGGGACCGAGCCATTCTGCCATTTTCGCCACATGTGCTGCTCTTCAAAACCATGAACACACGTGTGTTCCGCTCAGATTCAGAGCAGATTCACGAAATGACTGGTCCCCAGCGCCACGATCGCAATCGATCCGCGAGGATGGTCCAAGTGGCTTACAATACTAAGAGTATTTTTGGCAGATGTACTGACATCTGTACGGTTTTGAATTACTCCACTCTTCCATTACCATCACAAAATTGCCAGTATTAACCCACCACCAGCATTAACTCGAGTGCCACCTGCTCATTTCGTTACAAATCGATCTTCCCAACGGGGCCGGCGTGCACCGTCACGCTGTGACTGTGATGGCGTTCACGCCGTGATGCTGTGGCTGTGATAGTATCCACACCGTAACGCCGAGCGGCGGTGACCTCTCACCTTGGTGCCGGACACCAGCGGCAATGGCGAGAGCACGAGCGGCACCAGCACCAGCACCCAGGCCCTCCAGAACAGCAGCACGTCGTGACGGAGACAGAGCGGCCACAGCGCCATAGCTCCAGCTCCACTGGCCCGCTCCTCGGCCTGCCCGGGACAAGCCAGCGGGTCCCCACGCAGTGTCATCAGCCCCGCCTGTACGGCCGATCTGAACAGACCAGCGCGGCGACATCTCAGGAACGCAGCGACACATGGGGCTCGCGCATCGCGCAGCTCAATAACGCTCATGTCGAAACATCAGCACATTTGTCAGCGCATCGTCGGATGGGCTCAGATCGAGCACATATGTTGGAAATCAGTGGTGCAGCCAGAGGGTGGCCTAGGGCGCAACAACCTATGACACCAGAGTGGCATAGGTCGCTTAGGGTTGTCATTCCCTGCAAAAAAAACGCTGGCGTGGCAAAGTTAACAGTTCTTGTATCTCAAGCTGAAGCAAAAATTACCTTTCAGAACCGTCATGTTCCATTATTCACAATTTCTTCAGTCACTAAAGATACTACTCATGGCGCTGCTATGGCATCACAACAGCTGGCATCTGACGATTATTTGGTATAGCTTCATGTGTTCATTTCAACTGTCATTGCAAAATTCACCACCTCTGTTTTACACTTAACGCGACGAAGCAATGTCGCCTAGAAAATTGTACAACCGAAGAATAAATAAAATAATTTTAAAATATTTTACCTTCAAAAACCTATGGCACACTCTTTTGACCTGAACAAAAGAAAGAGAATTCGTTTGTCGACCAGGAAACTTTTGCATTTGATCTCCACCTTATTGATATTCAGTTATAACTTCAGCAGTCTGCGCGCCTTGGTTGATCACAGATATTGCTATTGGCGAGCATAGGAAGCTGTCCAGAAAAGGATGCACCTATATATACCTTAAAGGACTCCGGTCACCCAGGCAAATTATCTATGTTGAAATATCGACGGAAGGAAACCATCCAAGTGATCGACCGCTACTTCACATGCAACTCACTCAGAATTGAATTCCGCGACAAGAACTATCGAGCATTAATTAACCCTCTTATTCCAGACATGCAAAAATACGTCACGTTAGGGTGATTCGGCCCCTTTAACATCTCATGAGTCACTTGTCCGATTATCAAAACCGAAACGACATTCGATTCCTCCGACAACGTGCAAGTTCCTAAGCAAGGAAGCCTCAAACATATTTGATAGGGGCAACGAGAGACTCATTTCGATATTTGATCCGACGCAGGCAGTTTGTTTATTAACCAATTTTGACGTGGCCAACACATGTCAGTAACTAACGATTTGAAGATTGGAATGCCAGGTTGACATTTGGAAACTCGAAATTCATAGGCACAAGAGGAAGGATAATAAAAACGACATAAAAATAAAAACAGAAAAACGCATGCAGAATGCGACCGCAAGAGGAATGACAAAATAAATCCTCAAAACGGGTTTTATTCATTGAGTACATGCAGAGCAAATTCGATGATGTGGTACTAAGTCACGTGACATAAGGGTATCCATGTTTCTGAAGGAGAGGATGTAGGACATGTGATTTGGGCACGCCCTGTTGAAGCCGCCGCCTTCCGCTGCCGTTCTCCTGTTGGCGACCATTGCCTGCGTGTCCTACAACAACCTCTCCCTTGCTCTTTTGTCGTTACTGGACATGCCTCTGACACGCATCAGTTTTGTACGTTTACTGCACAAAAGTGAGAAATGGCGCATACCATGTCGTTTTAGTGCTTCGTGTTCAAGGTGTATAACCGCCGATAGCACTCCCTGTAGATGCCTTTGTGCAATTTTTCTTGCCTTTTGTTTCAATCGTGCATGCATTTTCTTCCATTATACAATCAGAGCAGTGCAATGCTTGGGTTGGGCACTGCCACTCTACCTGCCCCCACCTGAATATGCCTTCGTGCAGCGGTATGCATATATATATATATATATATATATATATAATAATTATATATATATATATATATGTTATATATATATTCTCTCTCGCTCGTCTTTCTCTCTCTTTCTTTTTCTTTTTTTCTTTTCTTTCTTCTTCTTTCTCTCTTCTCTCCTCTCTCTCTCTCTTCTCTCTCTCTCATCACTCTTCTCTCCTCTCTCTCTCTCTCACTTCTCGCCTCTCATCGTCTCTTCTCTCTCCTCTCTCTCTCTCTCCTCTCTCTCAACTCTCAGATCATCTCCTCTCTCGATCTCATCTCTCCCTCTCTGCTCGCGCCTCTCTCCCTCTCTATACTCTCCTCTCGTCATCTCTATCTCTCTCGCTCTCTTCTCCTCTCTCTTTCTCTCTCTGAGATCATTTTTTACACACAAACCCAACAAACTGGGTTCGTTCGTAGGCCTCAGGCGACCATAACGGTGGATAAGCGGAAGTGAAGAGCTCACGAGCAGACAACATAATTCTTCGCTGACAAAGAGAATGATGGTCAGAAAGATTTAAAGGCTCGTCACGCTGTTCAGAGACCACTCGCTTTTGCCGGGGGCCCTATATGTTCACTATCAGGGTCAATCCGATTGCTGAGGAGACTTCCATGCTGCCCTTCATTCTTTGCGTTTGTTCGGGGAGCCCCGCACTGTTGTCGGAACTCTATCTGCTAGTATGTCAAGGCACTCTTGTCGATCAGGGGCCTTTCAAGAATCCTTCCAATCACCCGAAAGGATTAATACGTAATATCCGTGGCTCCAATGTCAGCCTGCCGGGGTACTCTCGGCCCCTCAAGGGCCTTCACATTTGTTTCGACTGACCTACCGACACATTTGTAATATGCTCATTGGCCCTCTACATTAGTCTAAGGCCCTTCCACTTTCCTATCACTTGCCGGGAGCTCTTCTCTGTTGCCGGGGGCCCGATCTGTCAACCTGTTTGGGCGCACTCGAACGTTCGGGGGCCCTCCGCACTGTCTTGAGTACTTCTAATTTGCTTGGAAGGCCCCACGCTTTTGTCGGGCCCCCATCCGTTAAACTGCTCGGGCACACTCGATCGTTCAAGAGCTCACCACACTCGATCCTCGGTACTTCTTGTTTACTTGGATAGCCTTGCGTTCTTGTCGGGGACTCCATCTGGTTCCGTTTGGGTTCTGTGAGCAACGCACCGCTAAGCACATCTCTCGACAAGTTGAAGTACTCAAGCGGATCAGCCCATCCCCTACGGTGGCAATTTTGTACGGCCAGCTTGGCAGCCACTCTGACGTCAAACGTTGCATGGTCCAATCAGACGAGGACACATTGAGGGGCATATTTACTGAATAGTGAAATCTTGTTTTGATTGAGCGGTCTTTTAAACTTAAAAGCCTGCCAAAAGTTACAGGCGGCCTCCTCCCTGATCTGATGCTTTCTTCCACATCTGCAAATGTGGAGCATTCTTTTTAACCTGCCGGGCGCTCTCGATTGTTCATGGGCTCGTCACACTGGTCTTGGATTCATTCCAATTGCTCAGAGGGCCCTGCACACAAGAGCTCGTATAAGTTAACGAACCGAGGCACTCGGTGCTCAGGACGCTCTCCGTCGATCTACGTCAGCGCCCCCCACCCTCACCCACACATTGGTCTTGCGTTCTTTTCGCTTCCTCTGAGGACCCTGCACTGGCGACGGAACTATCTTTGTTGGCCTGCCGCAGCAACCTCGATTGCTCAGGTGCCATCCCTATCGACCCTGGCCTCTCCCTTTTTATCGACGGGCCAACGCCCTTGGCGCGGGCCTGAATGTTAATCGGCCCACCCTTAATCGCTCCGAGACTATTGGTCGTGGTGTCTTCCGATGAGGTCGAAGGATTTTTTGTCTGTTGCCGAAAGTCCCACCTGTGCTTGCGAGCGCCACAGCGTTTCGTTTTCACTGGGTTTCGAACCCAAAATATTGCGTAGCACGAATTACGTTTTGCACTGCACAATACAAGAATTTGAACATAGTTCCCAGTTATAACAAAAGTACGACATATAAGCAAATGACTTAACAATAGCGCCAAAACCCGAGTATGAATATACAAGTAAGCTTCTTGCACTCCGGATAAACGCGCAAGAGCGCCACGAATGAGGGTCAAACCACGAGCACGGAACGATATTTGGTTCAGCAAACACTTCCAACACTGCCACTGTCCTATCCCTCTCTTTTCCAAAAGTATTATGTGGCACAAAATGTGATTCGGGATTGATATCCAGCCCTCTTATCCTCTTTCTTGCTTCCTTCTGTATCCTCGCGACTCCCACTTGTCCGGGGCAGGCCGCATGCGCCAGCTACGAGTGGGCCAAGAGGCCAGTTGGCTCCCCAGGCACATATAGTCATGGCCCACCGTTATCCATTCTCCCTCATCCCTTAGCTCTGAAACGATTATCACTGGTCGAAAGGGCTCAAATTCAAATAATCAACCAGCCGTAACTGAAACTTGCACGGCTTGTTCAATATGGATTGAGAGCCAATTCGCGTCCACCATATTTGTAAATCGTGCTCACATATGCCAGCTCTGAACGGCTCAACAAAATATTTTCTTGGCCTTGAGAGTTGCATGGTCTAGAAGGAAGCAGGATTTGAATGGCGTTGCTATGGCGTCATGCCTGCCTGAATATCCTTGAAATAGTCTGCTCCAAGAGTCTGCACAGCGTCGCTGGCATGTAGCTCAGGAAATAAAGGGTTTTAGGGCTTCAGAGGGCAGGGCTGTGAACTACGCCAAGGGACCTTCAAAATGGCTGTCTCAATTCAAAGCCTCACACAACTGTGGAACGCTTTTGTTAATACATTTTGAACGCCAGTATGCTTTTTACCCCTTCATAGCATTCAAAACATAAACTATGCATAAATCATCGACCATCAGCCAATCACATAGAGTATTAGCCAGCTAGCCGAAAATTTTAAAAACCGTAAGCTAGCCGTAAAGCTGTGTTGTCATCAGTCCTCGAGGCAAAATTTCAACAATAATTTTCTGCAAAATCCCAGATGTGCCTGATCTGATCATAACCAACAACTTGACGCAAGACACATCATCTCTCACGGCTACTGGCATCGTGTATGAGTTCCGATGCCCTCTCGGCGCCTGTGCACGCCGCAACAGCTCATGCTATATTGATCATCCATCGCCATCTCGCAGCATCACCATGCGCTTGCAAAATGCTGTCAGAAAGATACGTTCGAGTAACGCATGGCTGACGGTTCGCCCAGAACATTGTGGTCGATAACGTCAGCAGACAAATGCACTGATTTGTCTGGTGAGTTCGATCGTGTAATTCTATTCATGTAATCTGAAAAAAATACATTGGCGGTATTAATATCCCTTAGGTATGTTATCGTTGTTCGTATATGGAAGTACCTGTGCCCACTGAGTACCTTAAACGCTGCCATTACCGTCTTGAATACATGAAATGAGGTTTTATTACTTGAGAGACACCTTCATATTTAGAGTGCCTCATCTTCCACGTATTTTAGAAATTTGAATGCAGACATTTTCATTAAGGCCGCCGAAAAATAAACAGGAATTTGCTGCCGAACCGAGCCGCTGTCACATGTATTGGACGCGTTACTGCATCCGTTTTTTACGTATGGTGAGGTTAATAGAGTTAATCCTCGACCAGGTACAGAGAGAGGCATTTGATGCAACTTCTCTAGGGCTTTTTGAAGACACGTTTCCGGCATGCCGTGCAGTTGCGTCCGAATTTTTTCCAGCTTGTGTGGCAAACATTGTGCGTTTGCCACCAAAACCGTGTTCGTAGCTTTCCTAGTTTAGGAGCAGCGCCTGTTTTCCAGGAACACTGCACGGCGATCCACGGTCAGCGCGGGTGGCGGACGGCAACCGACGTTGCTGCGTAACGCGCACGACGGGCCGCTATTGCTGCATTAACGGAACCATAATAATAAATATATGCTCAAAACACATCGTGATGTACACCATTGTACTCAAAACCGAACAAAGAACACGCCTGTTTAAGTCCCGTGTAGCCACAACGTATCATCTCACAGTTATGGTGTTGTAAAGCTGAAAAGTACGATTGTCGTGGAAAATTCGATATTTGATCTGCCACAACGTGGTAAGAACCGGCCGTGAGATCTCGCTGAGACCAGTCCCATGACGTTTTCTTCTAAGCTCTATTTTTATTCGTGTGGAAACACCAGGGGAGGAAGGGGGCTCGCATCAAACCTCTACCAGGCCACATTATGAAAAACGGCGAAGCAGAGCGAAAAATGACAAAGCGTTGCGCGATAACAATACAGACGAAATTCGCGTAACGATTCGAATGATGGTAAAGATGGGTCCCGGAGGCAACACAAACTTGGTATGAAGGAGGAAATGCCCAACATGCTGTTATTTTCACCGAGGCATATTACATCCAAATATGCATATAGGGATTATGTATATACCTATATATATATATATATATATATATATATATATATATATATATACCTTTTCCAACACACAGACCATTGACGAGAACAACATTCTGCGTTTTGGATGACTTCCGGTTAAGTTTTTATCTTTCGAATATTAGAGCGCTAGAGAAAATTAACTTATGCGAAGCCCAAAAGGCTGTTCACAACAGCAGAAATACACGCTCATATATATATATATATATATATATATATATATATATATATATATATATATATATAGAATATTATATATACATATATATATATCTCTCTCTCTCTCCTCCTCTCTCTA